TGCACCTTAAGTAACTATTGTAGCCTCATATAATGAGCAGAGGCAGGACTATCCTATAGCCTCCAACTTTACTCATTCAATTATAACTTCTGAAGACAGCCTATAGTTCCAAGGCATTTTGAGGAACATGTGGAATCAAGAGGAGGAACAGCAGGTACAACCTCAACCATCCTTCTGTGCATTCATTCTAGACAGATAAGTTGTCTGAACAGGGCAAGAGTACTGCTCAGAAGAGACAGTCTGCACAAGTTTCGTGTACATGTATGACAAGGTGCAAGACCATTATAAGTGCTCCATCGGAAGGGTTCTAACAGGCCCTTTCTAACTTGAAATAACTGACCGATGCACAAAGCACCCCCACCTGCCTGCTTGCTGCGCTCAGGTCAGGGAGGGCTCTCCTTACAATACAGGAGCCAGAGTCATCTAGTGGTTAGGAGCACTGGACTGGGACTCAGGGGATCTGCGTTCTAGTCCCCACTCAGCCAGGGAGCTCACTGGGTGACTTTGGGCCACTCAAAGACTCTCAGCCCAACCTACCTCACAGGGTTGTTGTTGTGGGGATAAGACTGAGAGCCACAGGAGAATTCTATAAGCTGCTTTGAGTTTGTGGTTAAAAAACAGGATAGAAATCTAATAAAATAAATAATCAGCAGACCCTTAAACCATGAAAGGCAAATCCTGTATCTGTAGTGCTGGTTTTCAGAACACTTTGGTTATTACAAGGACAGGCTCAGGAAATCCAATTACAGCAAGTTTTGGGGAAAATAATGATTTGAAATGCATACCAGGTATCCTGTATCCAAAACTCAAACATTTAAAGCAGAACTAATTGTATCTAGAAAAGGCCTTACAGTGCAAGAGCTGCTATCCAAACATGACCTCATCCCCATCTATTTGAATCCTCCTTATCTGCAGCATGTCTCTGTACAAACGTTTGAGGCTTGTCTAAGCATATTAAAAATAGGAAAGGGAATACAAGTTCCTGCTTTACTTCTCCTGGGTTAAGAGGTACATGGTGGCATTAGCAGCAGGTTTTTCTTGTTGCATTCAGCTATTCTGTCTGCCATAGCTCATTGCCCATGTGTGCCTAAATGTCTCGAGTGCCATATTCAGTTCCAGTGCAGCTGGGGGGCAGTAAAAATAGAAACTGAACAAGATCTGAGAATACAGAAGGAGTGCACAGACTTGTGGGGTAAGGAAAGAGAACAAATTACTATTATTTACATGCTGTCTTTCCTTCTTTTGCAAGGAACTCAAGATAGCTTACAAGGTTTTCCTGGCCATGATGATCCTCACCACAAAACAACCTAGTGAAATAGCTTAGGTTAGTTGCCCATGACTGGACCCAGGTCACTTAGCGAAGTTCATGGACAAGTAAGAACTACAATCTGGGTCTGCCAGGTCCCAGTCCCACACTCTAAACTGTGCACCACACTGTCTGCTTTGAAGACTCCAAGGAGCTGTTTTTCGAATGGAGAAAATGTGGGTGGGTTAGCTTGCCTAGTCCCTAATGCAGGGAGGGCAGAAGTGGAGCAACAGAAAAGAAGCACCTTGGCTGATCCTTCCCTGTCTCTAGGAATGTGTGGCCACAGGCTTTCCAATTCTAACGCTTAATATACAAACCTGGGTGCACTGCATCAGTCCTTATTTCTTAAAGCTTGCAGATTTATAAAAGAAACGAGTTCCTCATATATACCTGTCAAGCACGTAAAGAACAATTCCCTCATATGGTTACTATTTCAAATTGGTTAGAAGGATGTGGTTACTTAAGAGGCATTTCTTTTTTCAGTATGGTGGTTCTTAATCAGCCAACTACAAAAAAGGCCAAGATACAAACATCTACAAGCAGAAATACTAAACTAGACTCAATGCCAGCAGATTATTCACCAACACACTGCTGCTAATTTGCAAGTCCTCTACAATCCATATAATATGATCTCAGAGTTTTATTTAAAAGCCAACTGATTCAGTTAGACTTACTCTCAAATCAGAATAAGCATGGTGTCACAGTCAGTGCAGCCTTCTCCAGGGATACCACAGTGCCTGTGGTTACTTCACTTAGTAAGCCCCCTTCCCACCACTACTTTGGTTTTTACACTGGGGACAGCCAGGAGCATTTTAAAGCAGAACTCTCCTTTATCATCATGTCTTTTGAAATGAAGACTGTGGTAGATGGAAGCTGGTACCTTTGCGGTGTGCCTCCAGGAAAATGCTAAAGAAGAAAAGAAAAAGTAGCCTCCAATTTCATCACCTGCCAAGTGAGGGAAAGGCAACAGTGGTGGTGCACAAAATGGAGTCACTCCCAATATTTTGTGACTGGCCATAGCACTCCACAGCAGCCCTTTTGTGCCTATACACATTTTTTAAAAATTCCAAATATGCCTGTACATCTATAAGGCAGGACACTCAAGGTTAGAGTGTCAGACTAGAACTGGGGAGACCTCAATTCAAACTCTACCTCAGTCTTGCAACGTATAGTTATTGGCCAAAGATCCCTAAGGATCTTTCAATTCTATTGCACAGGATTGTTGTGAGGATAAACAGGGGAAGTGGGGAGAACAGGTATGCTGCCTTAAGAAAAGGTTATAAGAAAGCTAGTGTGGGTAGTAGTTAGAGTGCTGGACTGGGACTGAAAGAATCTAGGCTCTAGCCCTACTAGGCTATGAAGATTTGAGAGGCTTTGGGCTAGTCACTGACTCTCAGCTAACATACTTCACAGGACTGTTGAGAGGAGGAAAACCTTGGGTTCATAGAACTTTCTGTTCCTTGCAACATAAAATTATGTAATATAAATAAAAATACACAGGCCTAATTTTCTTCAACATTTTCTATATCTGCTTTAGGACACAAGTCACTGTACTACACAAACAGAGGTCAGAGAGAATGAAACACAAAATCATTCACAATAAGAGTCTATGGCAGCCTTTCCCACTCTGGTGCTCTTTAGCCACTGCAGACTTCAATTCCCATCAGCACCAACTAGGGAATATACAAAACATATCGACAGCAGGAGGCTAGGGAAGGCTTGTCTGTGGGAACAAACAGTCATGAAACTATATGAGGCAGAATGTAAATAAGTCCAGAAAAGTTACTCTTCTGCCAAACCAAACAATTACCAGCCTCCAGGTAACTTTCAGAGAAGGGAAGACAGCTTTGTGACGCCAGCCCTATCGATTCAAAGGCCTATAGGCAAATCACTCAGCGTCTCACAGCTGAGTCTATAAATAACGTCACAAAAATATTAGGTGTGCACTCAAGCAACTGGACTGCATTTGGGGGCTTGATCCAGGACAGGTGCTTCGTGCACACAGGACATCAATTTATTATATGCCTGTGAGAAGACACGCCTGCCCTCAAAAGTGCAAGATTATGAGCTGTCTAAATTGATACACAGATGCAGACTTGGAACTGTAAGCTGCCTAGGAGGCCTCTGCACTTATAGGCGGCCAATCAATACATGTATGTATGTATGTATGTATGTATAAATGTCATAGATTTTTAAAGAAATCACAGCGAAGAGCTCCAAATATTCAGGAAAGAGAGAAAGCCAAGGGGACAGCAGCAAGTCAAGAATACAAGAAAATGCTGGTTGACTTCCACAATCTGGTGTCCCTCAGATGCGTAGGACTGCAACTCCCAGCATTCCCCACCAATCTGCATGATGGGAGTTGCAGTTTCACACATCTGGTGAAAGCTACATGGCCAAAGGAGGGACTCGAGGCGCAACGCAGACGCTTGACTTTCTAACCTGCAAGCCTGAGCTCTCGTACGAAGCAAGCTCCAACGATCCTAGGGGGCTTCCTTACTTCTGAGTCGACAGCTACAGAACCACGCTCCAGAGTCGGGGCTTGTTAAGACTGCCCCTGCCCAAGACTCCCTTTTCCACAGACGACCCCAGGACTCTTTTTCCTCCGTGCACTGGGGAGCCTTAATTTAGGAAGCAACGCTCTTCCTTCCTCCCCGCAGATGCTAGCGCTTTGCAGCCAGGCAGTACCGGGAATTTCCCCCACATCGGGCCTACAAGGCTGCCGAAGTCGCCTCCCCTCCTCCTCCCAAAGAGATTCGTCATCCCCTGGCTTCGCAACGAAAGCGAAACCTAGCCACACTTCTTCCATTTGCCGGGTCTTCCCCGCGCCCCGCTCGGATTTCTTCGCCTCGCCGTACCTGATCCGCGCCCTCCGACGGCGAGCGCGAGCAGGAGCGCTCTCCCTCGCCCGAGCCCTGCTTCTGCTCTCCCTCGCCGCGGCCCACCGAGCACTTTCCTTCGCCCGTCGCCGAGTTCCCCGTCTGCTTCCGGCTTCCTGACGCGCGTAGGAGGCGGGGCAGCTCCGAGCAGAGGCGGGTTGGTCCCGGGGCTCATATGCCTCCTTAGCTCCCGGCAGCGAGAGGCGAGGCTGAGCAGGCAGAGATTACGCGCAGTGCTTTTTCTTTTCCTTTTCCTTTGAAAGCGGGACCCACGCTCTCCAGGGCTGGCTCACTGGGGCAGCCACGGGAAATCAAAGGAGGGCGACGCTGCGAAGATGCGTTTAACAGCGCAACCTCCATAGTAAATTCCACTGAAGTCAGTGGGTTTACTCCCCGGTAAGTGAGTGTAGCAGGAAGACAATATAGACGCTGAACAATGACACTCGGGGATCAGTGAAACCCACCCTTTCAGCCTCGTCTACGTCATTAGGTTGTTGTGAGAGTCCGCCAACCTGAGTTCCATGGCCGAAAGGCGGCATAAAAATCAAATATAATAGGGGGAGTTAGGCTTCTCGTCAAAGCGATACTCAGCACACATGAACCTACTGGAATGGCATTCGCCATTCCTCTTGGAAATTTCAGGACAAGGATCAAGGTTGGAATAAAACTGGTGGCCATTGTAGAGCCCTCCAGATGTTTTTGTACAGCAACTCCCATTATCTCTGCCTATTAACTACACGGGCAACCCCCTTAGGGTACTGACCTGGACATCCATGAAAGGTCAGTGTAATAGCTGTTACGGGCAAGCATAGCAAATGCCACTAACAGACACATTGGATGCACTAGATGTATATGCCCAAGAATGTTTTCCGTGGCCTGCAGTAAAAGTAATTGCCAACAGGTGATTACTGGAATGGAAGTAATTGCACTTGGAATGGAATATACTAAATTCAACTGCATGGGGGGGAAACCCTTCCCAATGTCTGTCCTTTTAATACCTTTTGGCAAATGCAAATTATTATTATTATTATTATTATTATTATTATTATTATTATTATTATTATAACATTTTTATGCCGCCCCTTGCCGAAACCTCGGGGCGGCTTACAACATGATAAAATACATTGAAATACAATAGTACATAATAAATTACCATTAAATATAACAATACAAAAAATACATTGATTTACAAATACAAAATTAAAATTATCAGTATAAAATAAAAATATAGGAGGAGAAAGAGAAGGAAGAAGAAGTTGCCCAGGCCAGATCATATGTTTTAACAATTGAAATGATGTTTAAATAAAAAGGTCTTTACCTGGCGCCGAAAAACCAGTAACGACGGTGCCAGGCGGACCTCTTTGATTACTTTTTGTATTGAAGAATTGATCATTGGACATGCACGTGATAGGCATGTCGTAAGTAGAGCTGGCTGGAACTGGGGGTCAGACTAGATGGCATGTGGCTACATTTTATTGTGAGATGCTTACGTATTATTTTATTGTTTTATCTGTTTATTGTTATTACTGTATCTTATGCATTTGATGCTGTTTTAGCATTTGTAAGCCACCCAGAGAAACTTTGGGTTATGAGGTGGCATAGAAACGAAATGAACAAAATGGCCCAAGAGGCCCCTTCTGACTCACTTTGTTGTTGTTGTTGTTAGTCGTGAAATCGTGTCCGACCTGTCGTGACCCCATGGACATTCCTCCAGGCCTTCCTGTCCTCCACCATCCCCCGGAGTCCACTCAAGCTCACACCAACTGCTTCAGTGACTCCATCTAGCCACCTCATTCTCTGCCGTCCCCTTCTTCTTTTGCCATCTATTGTTCCCAACATTAGGCTCTTCTCCAGGGAGTCCTTCCTTCTCATTAGGTGGCCAAAGTATTTGACTTTCTCCTTCAGGATCTGGCCTTCTAAAGAGCAGTCAGGGTTGATCTCCTCTAGGACTGACTGGTTTGATCACCTTGCAGTCCAAGGGACTCACAGGAGTCTCCTCCAACACCACAATTCAAAGGGCTCAATTCTTCAGTGCTCAGCCTTCCTTATGGTCCAGCTTTCACAGCCATACATTGCAACTGGGAAAACCATAGCCTTGACTATATGTACTTTTGTTGGCAGGGTGATGTCTCTGCTTTTTAGTATGCTGTCTAGATTTGCCATAGCTTTTCTCCCCAGGAGCGTCTTTTAATTTCTTGGCTGCAGTCCCCATCTGCGGTGGTCTTGGAGCCCAGGAAAATAAAATCTGTCACTACCTCCATTTCTTCCCCATCTATTTGCCAGGAAGTGAGAGGACTGGATGCCATGATCTTAGTTTTCTTGAGTTTCAAGCCAACTTGTGCACTCTCCTCCTTCAAGAGTGCACCCGCATCAAGAGGCTCTTTAGTTCCTCTTCACTTTCTGCCATTAGAATGTTATCATCTGCATATCTGAGGTTGTTGATATTTCTCCCAGCAATCTTAATTCCAACTGGTGATTCATCTAGCCCCGCCTTTCTCATGATGTGCTCTACATGTAAGTTAAATAGGCAGGGCGACAGTATACAGTCTTGCTGAACTCCTTTCTCAATTTTGAACCAATCAGTGGTTCTGTGTCCAGTTCTCACTGTTGCTTCTTGACCCGCATATAGGTTTCTCAAGAGACAAATAAGATGGTCAGGTACTCCCATCTCTTTAAGAACTTGCCACAATTTGTTGTGATCTACATAATCAAAGGCTTTAGCATAGTCAATGTAGCAGAAGTAGATGTTTTTCTGGAACTCCCTAGCTTTCTCCATGATCCAGCGTATGTTGGCAATTTGATCTCTAGTTCCTCTCCCTCTTCGAAATCCTGCCTGTACTTCTGGTAGTTCTCGGTCCACATACTGCTTGTAGGATTTTGAGCATAACTTTGCTAGCATGTGAAATGAGTGCAGTGGTGTGGTAGTTTGAACATTCCTTGGCTCACTATGTTTCTATTATTTGTACCAGACTAGATGCCATCTAGTGACTTACTGCAACACTTTGAATGCCTTGTAAAATGTCTTGACTGCATTGGCTCTTCTAAAGGTACCAGATAAAGCTTTCAAAAATTAAAGCTATCAAGAACATGCAATATTGTATCAAACTGTTACAGCACAAAGTCCTGTTGGCAAAGTGTGGAGCACACAGAAGCCCGCTTTGAGTTCTTAAAAGTACAATCCTGTTTGTTTATACAGGGGAAAAAGTATTACAGCTGCCAGCATGCTGGGAACTGTAGGACTGTTACCAGTGTACACATGCACAGGATTTCACACTAAGAGTACTGTTTCTTTTCTTCAAAGGAAGGAGGCACAAACGAAATAGTAATGACAATAGATGTAAGGAAGCAATTTAGTGAAACACCAATAGCCAAATGAAGACAATAAATTTTAGTATTTATTGGCTGTAACTGTAGGAAAAAGTAAAAATTTGCTTATTTCACACTTCAGGCTTATCTGACTCAGTTTTAAAGTTCACAGCAACAACGAAATACCCAAAATTCCTATCTGAAAGCTTATCTGACTATTTTGAATTTCAATGTGTTTTGTTTGACATCCATATGATGGCTAAAGCAGAAGTTACACTTCTGCCCTGTCTTAAGAGGAAAGGTATGTTTTGACAGAAAAACAAAATGTATGTTTATTTATGTTCCCCATTTACCCATCCTCCCCTCCACACACAAACAGGGCTTTTTAAGAATCCCAAACTACTGTGCACAGCAGGTATCGGTAATATCTGACTTATTTGAAGAATTTGTGAAGTAACCAAACATCTTTAATAAATGGTCAGTTTCCTACTTTAGATGAGATTTAATTAGGGTTAGATTGGATTGTATCCAATTTAAGCTTTACTGAAAGTAGACTCACTGAAACAAACAAGTTAGACTAAGACTGGATAACCAGGACATCGAGGCTTCGGCGAATGGGGCGGCATAGACATTTTCTAAATAAATAAATGTTAGTTCTGAATATTTGATTTCATTAGAATGCACATTTGGTTCTTTTCTGGAGATACAATGCAGGTATCTAAGAAATACAACTGTTCTGTCACAATATTTCCCCATAACTATGGGCTGTTCCCACAGGAACTTGGGAGCAGCTGAATGCATCTGTACCATATCTATGTTTTGAGGGCCCTTACTGGTCTGTCCTTCTGGAGTTGTACCTCTTCATTGTCCTGCCACTAGCTGCTATTGTTCTTAATTCTTCCTCAACTTTGTTCACACTTCCTTGACAGAGAGATGACTAGGGAGTAAGCAGTCAGTGGCATCTACCACTTCCCTTCATCAGCACTATCGTCTGGGACAGCGCAGCAAGCAAGCAAGCAGGCAAACTACAGTGGTGAAGAGCAGCAACAGGAAGCCTGGGGTTCTTGTCAGTGGACCCTTGCGGGGAAGTGGTCCCTCAGCAGATGCCCAGTTATACTTACCACTGATGCCTGGAAGCATGTGGTCAGTTTTGCCCTCATCTTTGGCTTCCCCTTGTCACTGGTATGTAGTGACACACTGCAGTTTATCAGCTGTTGCTTGAAATCATCAAAATGTCCATTAGCTTAGACCCTCCTCTTTATGGCCTTGGATTATAAGTTACTACAGTGTCTAATTCTGTCTGTGTCAAAGAGAAAGTGGGGAATAGATGAAAGAAAGTGCCACTGAATTCTGTGTTGATCCTGCTTTGAGTACAGCTGTTTCTATGGCAGCACACTGGTTCCTTGATTAATGGCATACAGGGCTCTTAAAATCAATAATGAAATCTGTTCAAGCACAGTTTTTAAACATCTAAAGTTAAACAAGTCAATAATTCTATGTTGTCCATGCACGACTGCCCAGCCTTGTGTGATTTAATAATTGACACCAAGATGATGACCAATGACTCAAGACAACTGGTAGATTTCAATGAATAAAATTTATTTTTTGTATAAAAAATGTAGACTCGGGTCCTATTTTTAATCAGATCTATTAGTAAGTGCCTTGTTGCATACACTTCAGCATTTAGACCCCTCCAAGGAAACAGCTATCTACAAAATGGGGTTTTAATTGTTTTATTTTATATCACCATTCATGAACAAATGATTTTTATTACTAATATGCACATATTTTACTCAGTATTTAAAAATGTACACAATTTATAACCATTGCTTTTTGTTTGGAGGGAATTTATACATTGTTTAATTTCAAAATGAAGTGGATTTTTACTGTACTAATTACAGCATACAATTATCCTATACAGAGTGTTCCGTGTAGGCAACACAGACAACCTGTGTTGTCTACCTGCCTTTGTGTATCAACCAACACACTGTGGGGCATTTCATTTTCATTTTTACAGAAAAAAGGCTAATATACATACCAATTTAAGCATAGAGCAACATCTTTCCAAAGGGGAGAAATTAAGTACGAATGGCACAAAATTTAGCATTCATATAAATTAATATCTGGTGTTCCTGATTAAGGAAAACAGGCAAAGATTCCAGTAGACATCTTAAGGTTTTGCTCTTTGAAAGAATACCTGTTTTTAAAAGAAAATGTATCATGTTTAAGAAAACACGGAGAAATTGCACCATTAAGTCAAGGATTTAAAAAACATGCTGCTAGGGACAGAAAGTTTTAGTGGGCTGTTTGGAACTCCCAGTAAAGTTCTAGAATAGGGAAGAATGATAAGTTCTCCCTCTGCAGTGGCATTAACTCTCCAGGGAGGCTGACAAAATGCTTTGCCAATAACTTTTATTACCAAAATAACTTTTGACAAAAGACTTATTTTAGGCATGTTGTCTTCTCTCTTAAATACACAGATATAAAAATTCATGTCATTTAAATGTTATGTCATGGTGGTCTCCAGTAAGATCATCCCATGAGAAGTAGGACATAATTGATTTGTAGTGCTAGCTTGTAGTTTGACTTACGGAGTTCCAGTTCCAGTGCTAGCTTGCAAGTTCTACTTATGGAACAACTCAAGTAAGAACATGTATTTATATGGAGACCTTAGTAGAATTTCACAAAAGTGGAACAGATATGTCACCACATGTTGGAAAGAGCATAGTTCAATCAGAAACACCTAAGTTCTACTTAACTTATGATAAAATGCATTCATTCATTCATTCAAAATGAAAACTAGACACAATTTTACCTACCTTTAAATAGTTTTTAAAAACTTTAGCATCAGGCTGCTGAAGCGCTTGACAGAACTCCTATAAAAACACCAAAATTAAATGCTTGCTTATACTCGAATAATAAATGATTAGTCTGCATTGTAGCCCTAAGGTAATATTTGCATTTTTAGTACCTATAAACAGTGTAAAAATCAGTGTAAATGGAGATAATTTCCAGTATGCTGAACATGTTACTCTTTGGCATGCTGTACAGATCTGTGTCCATTTTGCTACATGCAAGGATGTCTCTGTGTCCCAACTCCAATATTTTAACAATATTATAACTAATCACCTCTTTAGACAGTGTAGTAGTTAGACAATAGCCCCAACCATGTGTTGGGAAATGTTTGTATTGATCCTAATGAATAAGGACTACTGTGTATGTAACTCTAAATTCTCAAGGTGTTTTCTTTCTTCCTGTGCCGAACCATTTATAAATACTGGTTTCATCCAGCAAGTCTATGTGCAGAAACACATTTTAGTTCATGTACAAATTCAGTCATGTTTCAAACAGTTATTTTACTTCCTGAAAGTTATATTTACTAATGGTCAGAACAGCTATGTATTGTTGCCTTTAACTATTCACTGTGTTGTGAGTTATACTTTTAATGTACATCAATACTGATTTTTTTAAACCCTCATATTATCCACCCTGGGAAAATCAACACTCTTGCTAAATCAGTATTAATCCTTTTGCAGTCAATATCCAAGATGTATATTTTGCCTAAAGATGCCAAAATTAACTACTCAGGAAAACCTAAGCTAACTCAACTCCAGGGCTGGCCTAGGAAATACTCCATGTATCAATTTTTTTTAAAAATTACCTGGATTATTTCAGGAGCTACCTGCAGCGAAGGCAGGTATTCTTGTTGAAGATAATGAATACATTCAAGGCCCTAAAATGAAACATATATACTGTTTTGACAGTGGTTCTATATTTTCTTATTCCAAATCTGCTCCACATCATAATCTTATGCATTATTTGCAAGATTATAGATTAGAAGCCATATCAGCCAAAATTGAACCCTGGAAGACTTGCTTCCATCTCCCAAAGGCAGGGACCATCACCTATTTCTTTCTTGCTTCATGGTCCTTCCAAGAAAACCTTTGTATACTTCAATACAAAGCCTCATCTTGACTTCCACCTTCTTCTCACCTCTGACAGTTCACTTAATATACATTGTGTGGGTTCATACACCCTGGCAACCCATCCTGCGAGTAAGTTATCCAGGGTGGGTTGTTCAGGAAATAACTTAAGATATGCCTGGCAGAATGAGCTCATCATATGTTGTTCCCCTGTATCTTCTTCCCTCTTGGTCACACTCAAAGGCAGGACCTATCTTATCTTCCCTCCCCACTATGACTGAGAGTCCTATCATGCTTACCACTGCTTTTCTCCCCTTGCCCATTTTTTTAATTGAAACATTGATCTCTTAGTTGATAGCCTCTTCAAAGTGCTCAAATGGCAACTGAAGGGGCTATCACCGGTTCATCAATCCCTTCTCTCCATTTTTTTAGTGGAAGAAATTTGCGAACTTCCTGTAGTTTTTAAAAAGTGTAAGTTTGTTGGACTTATGCAGGTAGAGATCAGAAATAGCAAACCTCACTTGGGCAATGTCTGTAGGAGTGACAGCTCTCGCCGTGCAGCAGGCACATATCATGGAACTGACTTGGAAAGGCTACAACAAGTCATTTCATGTTCTCTTGACAGCTGTCAAAAGGTGAGCTTTCAAGAGAAACCAAGGATACGAGTCATCTTTGCTCATGAAAAGGAGTGGCCACTAGATCACCCCTTTCACAAAAAGATATTCAAAGTTTTCTTTTTTGAACCCAACTTGTGTCCATCCTTTCCCTAGAATCTAGTTGCTTAAATCTTCTACAGGAACAGGGACAGATTCATTGCCAAGCTGTCAGCTGGAAAACACCACTAAAGGAAAGGAAGTGGCAAAAGAAGTTGCAACAAAAGTGGGGTCGGGAAAATACCTTCTGCTTAGTATGTAATCCTCTCCATTTTAATTATTGAACTGACAGTTCTCTATGTCTTCTCCCATTTTAACACTTTTCTCAGTCTCCACCTAGTTCAAAAAGCAGAAATACTGGCTTCCCCACCTTTCAAGGTGTGTTTTTGGAGTTCTTTCAGCTGTTGTTACTGTAGTTCTTTTTTAGTTTCAGTGCTTTTCAATTTACAACTCAGCAATTGGTTCCTGGAAACTGTATACAATTTAGCCTATATTCAGTTTTGTCAATTTCCAGGTATGTTACCTATTAGCTGCATCTGTTGACAGCTGAAACATAAAAGAAAATTCACAAGACAAGGTTACCAGCTCCAGAACAAGTCAGGATCTTAAACCAGCTTCAAACTTATTCTGAAACAGGTATCCATAACTTCCCATCCAGGATGAAATGGAAAACCATGTTCAAGTAGAATGTGCCTGGCTCAACTGCAGCTTGCACAAAACAAGATGCAAAAGCAAAATGCATATTCATCTTATGAGCTTCTTAAGTCATGTTTTTCCAAAGTGGGCCACTAACACATCTAAATTCTGTAGAGCAGCTGGGATTTCAGTCAAGGCAAAAAAATGTTAAACATTAATACAATTCATGATAATTCTGTATAGATCCCTTATGTTAGTGAGTTCCCCTGTCCCTCTTGCAACTGCATAGACTTGTCACTTTGTAACTCTAGCACACCATTCTTATTTCAGAGACTGGTATGATGGCAAAGAATTTTAACTATGTAGGAAATTCACCAGCATACAATTAAGCTGCAATATGGACTTGCCCACTTCATGTGATTTAAGCTAGGTTCAGGAAGTTTGGTGCAGTTTTCTTTCTGCATTCCTGACAATAGCAGGGAAAGGGGAAGATATCAGATGGAAAACAGTTCTTCAGAAAGATCAACCATTGTAGACTGCAAAGGGGAACATCAAAATAGGTAAGCAGAAGCAAGCCTGAGTGCTCAGTAAGAAAGATTTTTAAATAAAATATCAACTATGTTTATCAGCCTTACCCTTTTGAGATGAATTGTTTTTAATGTCACCGCACATTCAGATAAAGCCTATACAAGTGAAACAAAAAGCTTTGGTTCAAACTCTCAAGCATTTGACTGAAAATGGTTTTAATTTGATATTGCATTCATGCTTTACAAGGCTAGTCTTTAATAGACAGAAACATGATTTCCATGAAAAGAACTCATATTATTTCCAAACTCTCTTCTCAAAACCTAGAACTTTCCATAATATTCTACAGAACTTTAAATATTATTAGGATGTTTGTTTTCACTGCCCACATGCAGGTACCAGTCTTGTCATTTTGCCCCAGTGATCAAAATTTTCTGGATAGGCTTACTCCATAAGGAGTTCATTGGGACCACTCCGCAATCTACACTTAGCAGACTGAAGTAAACAGAAGCATTGAAATCTGTCACATGTGTGTCTTATAAGCAGGATGACATCTGACATAATTTGCCATGATGCCACATGTCTCTGAATACCTGTACATATATTCCTGTGAGAACTAGTAAGGTTTTCACGTTCAGGGAAATGACTTAGGAGATGCCGCCAAGCTTCTGGATGTGTGCAGAACTTAGGGGGAAATACTGGCCCCCAAATTTCATAGGCTAGATCAGGGACAGTGCTAGGAACCAAAGTCATTTGGGACTTAGGCCTCGAGGACAAAGAATCCCCCACAAATTTGCATGTACCATTTTACACATGGATGAACATCTACATGTCTGTGTACCTTTAAAGGGTATTGTCTTCTAATGACACCCTTATTTCTAAAATGGGAAGTATTATAGAAAAGAAGGAGGTATTTGATTTTAGAAAAAAATCCTCTGGCAGAGAGATTCAAGTGAGGGCAGCAGAAAGTGAAACATGTGGGCCACAAGTGAGCTAATCTAAGGAGATCAGATGCAACTAATGTACCACCTTTACTGCAGCAAATGTCCATGGAGAGCAGGGCAGTCTCCCTGAGATTTGGGACGCAAAAGGAAAGATTCAAGGTTCCATCCCTAGTGGTCCACACCCTGACACCAACTCTGGATTATATTTATGCATAAAACATCTCTTTCAGTTTTTACCCTTCACTAGGCATGTTATCCCTTAAAAGTGGGGACATGTTTAACAATTTCCCAATATAACCATGCAGCAGGTTACATACCAATACAGTCTGTGCATCTGCCAAGTCAAAGGTTTGCTTCGAAGGTGCTAAAAAGCATGCAGGAACAATGTGTTTATAGACAAAGTCAGCAAAACCCACAGGTCCATCCTTGCCTCCTAAAAATAAAATAAGAATATTCTCTGTAGTCATGTTCTTACCATGGAGGGTAATTTCACAAAATTAGAAAAAGGGCTTGTAGCTTTCTTGCTAGCTATCAATTTATATCCTGCCCTTTTCCTACAAAGAGCTCAAGGCAGCTTACATCTCCTCCTCCATCTTATCCCCACAACAACAACCCTGTGAGGTAGGTTGGGCTGAGAGTCTGTGACTGGCCCAAAGTCACCCAGTTGGCTCCATGGCTGAGCAGGGACTAGAACCCAGATCGTCTGAGTCCCAGTCCCATGCTCTTAACCACTACACCACACTGGCCACTACACTGGCATATGCACCACATATTCAGGGGAGAATGAATACTGCATCTTTTGAAGGCAAACACGTATCTGAAATATTAAAAGCATTTGGTACACACCGAGTCCAAGCCATAATGGTAGGAATGCAAGCTTACCCCAGAGTTCCACCAACTTTGACAGAATAATAAAGCAGGTTTTCTGAGCAATAGGATCAGGATAGTCAACCGCTCCTTGGATGATTGTGAACAAAACATGCTCTACATTCTCTGCTCCTGGAGATAATATATGAGAGAGGGAGGATTCAATTCAAACTCTTACTCAAAGCTAACAAAGGGGCAATAACTAATTATTCTTGACAAGGCTAGTCTTTAATATAACAAATGGTCAAGAGCAAAACGCAACACCGACAGTATAGTCTTATCTGCCCTGCCCAACTATAGAAAACGTGTACTGTATCAGAAATGCATTCATCATGATCAGAACCTAATGATATCAAAGGGCACATCACCTAAAGGCATCTGCTTTTAAAGTAATTTCTTTCAAGGAAGGAAACCTTACATCTACATGGAAAACCTAACTACAACATTATTTCTAGGTCTACCATGTCTATCATTTTACTAGAACAAGTGTATTGACATGAAACTTATTTTATATTGTTATTTCTTGTATTTTAATTTTATGTTGTGAGCTGCCCTGAGGCTTCGGCGAATGGGGCGGCATAGAAATGGTTTAATTAATAAATAAACAAACAAACAAAGCTGCCATTACAAGCCATGCCTTACCCTGATTGGCTATGACTTCACTCATTCCACTGCCAGTAACCGTCTGGAGAAAGGCAAAGTAACTCCTTCGTAACATCTGTTTTTCTAAAGCAGCAGATTGATCATTTTCTTCAGCTGGGCGATGCAGGACTTCAAAAATTGCACGCAGCAATGGCATAAACATTTGTTGCAGAAATGGGGAGACTTGGGTCTAGTGAGATGTGAAAAATATCAGTTGGTGAGTTGAATTTATGATGAGCAAGAATACACTAATACAGGGAAGAAGTTACAGTATTTTGTCTTTCATCTGTAAGTGGAAACATAATGAAGTTCAACTATAAATCCAGGGCTAGGATTCAGACTTGGGGCCGTATCCAGTGCAATCTGTGCACTAGCAGGACCCACTGCTAATTGCAAGAAAAAACTAGTGTTTTCTGAACCAACCGGACACAAGCCAATTTCTGGAACAAGGCAGTGAAACTTACAGAAGGCAGTTACTTTAAAAAAACATTAGCAGTGGTTCCTGTTGGTGTAAAAGAACCAGTTAATGCGCAGCCACAATACTGGATGCTGACTTTCACTCCTGGTAGCAGGACAATTATCTGAAAGGAGTCACAGGTGGTTAAGGAACCTTTCAGAGCAGCATAGGAACTAACACTGGGAACTGCATTGGGAAATCTGCAGAAGTTCTATTCCCCCATCTCTACCTGTGGAAACTGTTGCATTAAAAGCCTTGTGAAAACAGAAGGAGCCATTCCATTAATGGAAGGTGATGTTTGGTGCTGAATCCTGGAAAGTCCAATCTGGTAGCAACACGGCAATGGGCCTTCTCTAAGGTGGTGCCCTCCCTCTACAATGACCTGTCCTCTATGGTACATCAGGTAATGGTGATCATGCACTTTGAATGATTATTAAAAACCTACTTGTTTACCATGGTCTTCCCAACCATTTACGAGATCTAAGGGGATGATCCTATTTGCACCAACACCAAATACTTGGAGGCCCTAAACATGCCCTAAACTGTGCCTTAAGAATTGTATGCATTATAATGATGCATTGTTATATAACTTGCCATAAACTGTTTCAAGTTTTTAAAATTGAGAAATGGTCTAAAAATATTCTTAGGTAACTTATTGTTTACTTCTCTCTCTTAATTCTAATATAGTAAGATCAGATCATGGCAAACATTCCAAAACAAGGTCAGAATTCAAAAGACAGTGTCCTCATCACATGGGTAGGGCCAAGCCCTCTTCAAAATCTGACTAAAATATAGCTTATCCTCGAAATCTGAATTCCTACCTTGAACTTAGCTGTGATTTGGTTTATGAGGGGAATGAATTCTTGAAGGTCTTTTGCTTCACAGTCTTTAAGCATATGTTCAGAGGCTGAAGGGATGAATGGGAGAACTTCTTCCTCTAAGCAAATAATCATTCGGTGAAGAAAGGTGCGGACACCACTTCTAAGAACTTCCTTCTGCAAGGGGCAGCTGAGAGCTGGTAGGAATGTTTGTAAACAGTCCAGATAAACTTCAGAGCAGCCACATTGTTTCACCGTCTGCTTGTTGCTGAAAGCTTTGCTAGTACGGCTGTGCAAATATGAAAGACACACCATCACTTTAAGCTTTCTACTAGGCCATTACCCAGGATGAGTCATTTGAATCGCTTTTTACCCCTGTCTGGTTCCAACAGCAAGTGTGTAGAAACTTCCAAAACTTTTAATCAGCTTCTGCACCTTTGATATAAAGTTCATATTCTCTGACTGCACTTTAAATCTTACAGAAACTATTCCGACCAGACTATCTACATCTGTTTGCAATAGGCTGTCTGGGTACTTTCTGCACTACTTACAAATATTTTTGGATTAAAAAAATACTTATTATGAACCCCCCTAAGTGGCTGTTCTTATAATCTGGAGACAGTGGAATAGTGTTTCCTCCTTTCTACTTTGGTGGCTCTCAGGTTTTTTAGGCACTGTAGGTTCTTGTGAGGAATTAAATGAGTTTCTTCCACCCCAAATCAAGATTCCCGAAATTCATAAAGCAAGAGAAAAGAAGAAACAATCAGCAGCAAACCCCCCATGTCCAATGTGAACATGGCTTATGAACAGATTGAGTCCCAGCTAACATCTGCTATCCAGAAAAACACTTCCTTCAATGTATAGCTGTGCATAGATGTTGAATAATGTATACTTTTCCCACCTTGCAAAGCCAACAGCATGATTCAGACAATCAGCTAATGCCATCTGTCTCTCCTCATCTTGTGCCATCACAAGTTTTTCTAGCAGCTCTTTAAATTTCTCCATTAGAGGAGTCAAAAGATTTCTCATTAGAGCCTGCTTCCGTTCTGCAGAGTAGTCACTGTTCACTATCAGTACGCCAGCAGCCTCATAAATGAACAATTGGTCATCACTGCTTAATAAAGCCTGATAGCCATTTTCCTGGAACCAGAGAACAAAAGGAGAGTTTAACAATCAGAGGTTTCTATTACTGCTTTGTTATTTTATTTGCAGAGTAACCAAAAATCAAGGCATCCAATTGGTGCTACAGCAGTCCATACAACCAGTCCCCTAACCTGCATGAGTCTAGATTACCACTGTGGGTGTGACTTTTTTGGAAATGCTTACTTCAAGTAGTATATCCTGTGTACTTTGCATGCTACAGTGACATCATAAACTTGACAGAAAAATGATAGAACTTCCATGTTAGGAGTTAAAGGCTGCAGGTTGATATTTCATGGTGGTCTGCAAAATAGCAACTGAGCAATTCTGAATGCAAGGGGACTGACTAGGAGTGGAATCAATGAATAGCTTCCTTCCTGGTCTCTCCTTAATTTACAAAAATGCAATAAAAGATACTAAGTTACTGTCCTGATTCAAAAAGCTGTAGAACATGAAGGTAGTCATTTTGAATGTTCAGTGCTCAACTGCAGTTTGTTATTTCATGTGCAATCAGGGTTCATGGATTTTGGAGGACTGCTTAACCATTAAATAACCCACAGCCCCTGGATTCATGACACAAGAAGCTGAAGCTAGGTACTGAATATCGAAAATGGTGGGCTGTTTGATCATGTGAACCAGCTCAATGATAAACTGGGTAGGCTGAATGGATCCTGCTTTAGGGAACTGGCCTGAAATAATTGGTAGGGAACATTCTGTTATACTACATGGCAAAAGGCCACTGGCAAACATACATAAGTTGCTTAATTAAAGCAGCTCCATGATTCTACGTCTATAATATCACAATGCATCTGTGGAAGAATCCAGTTGATTTTTAAATTCCTACTTTTCTCCAGATGTTGAACATTTGGATGAACTATTTATTATATTTTTGGTCCATATTAACTTCAAGAAGCTCAAGGAAGAATACATCATCACACACTCCCCTTTATCTTCACAACCTTTGAGTCAGTTAGGCTAAGAGATACTGACTGGCTTAAGATTATTTCCGGTAGGCCATATTTAAAATTAGACATGGAACTTACCATATTTTGTAAAATGTTAGAACAATTTAAAGACTGAACCAAATGAGCACAATACTGCTAAATGAGCAGACTAGATATGGTATGTCTGGATGATAATCATATCATCTGCCTAGGTGCATATATCACTTCTTATACTCAGAGTGCAACTCAAGGTGGATAACACTTTCCCTCCCTCCCTCCCGCCATGATAGACTCAGCCTCTCTGAACTTGTCTTTTTATCCAAGACAACAGGAAATGCTTACAGGTGGAGAAAGTTCTAGCAGATCTTGCATTCTATTCAGCACATCTTCAATAAAGGGATTCATCTGTTTACTGAAATATAAGAACATAAGTTATGTTACATTGCCATACAAGTATTTTTTAAAAGAGCTGAAATGTAACAGTTGGCTGCATGAAAACTAGAACGTTGCTCAGCAACAATGTCATCATTAATCCATGGTTTGTTAACAATAACCCATGGTTTATTGAAAATGCAGTGGTAGTGAACATGTGTGCTGGGACCCACATGCCCACCTGCTTCCATTGTGATAAACAAGATGATCCAAATCTGGAACTCTGGGTTGCTGGGGCTGAACAACCGAGGGGCAGTGACCACAGCAGTATCCTTGGGTTATCATGGCAGTAGCTGAAAAACACCCAGGAAACAGCACACGCTCTGATCCTATTTGCAACAACTCATTGTTAAGAAACCACGGATTGTTGATTATGACAATTATTTAAACAGAACAAATATCATTGTAGAAATCATACAGTGTGATAATCCCATCTTGCACTCCAAAGACACAAGATAACTGAAAAACATCGTACCCAAATCGGCTCCATTTATTGGAATAAATTGTAATCCTTTGTAAAGAATAATTTTATCTTTTTTACTTAAGGAAAATGTGTTTCACTATGTGTAACAACACAGAAAAGAAAAATGTAGAATTTGTGACTAACTCTTTGAAGATAAATCAAACCTAGAAATCAAGATAAATGTCATTTGTGTTTGTACTCAGATTAGATTATTTGGCAGCATTTCCCTAATTTAATCTAATTTAATAAATAAATGAAGAGGCAATCGCTATGCAGTTTTGGCTAGGATTTCTATTACTGGAAATCTCATTACATCACTAGGTTTCATGTAACTTACTTGAGAGATTTGACAAATCTGGAGAAAAGGTAAGCAATTCTGCTTCGTACTTTTGGATTAGTATGACGAAGACCTCTGTGATCCAAGAAAGCCATCTACAATTAAGATTGGAACAGTTTACTCATTCAGACTCTTATGAAATGAAAGAGATTAGTAATTTAACATGAAAAGCACAACATTTTTCTAGCTGTTTTACTGAAACTGAGGAGTAAGGGAGACAAAGGACAGCGAAGAGGAAAGTAGCGTCATGGATAACAAAAAGCACATAAAAACAAGTAGGTATATAGCATAAACTTACTAATACAGTTGGAATGTGCTGAGGTTCAAGGGTGAAAAATTTTTCATATCTGACCACGGTTTCAAAGAATTCCAGAGTTACTGATGTGTGCTGATAGGTACTAATACCTGATGTAACCAACTGCAGAGGAAGGAGGAGGATTAAGTACCTTGGATTAAACAAGCTTTTTAAAAGGAAAATTAAAGGTTTATGTTGACTCATACTTACAGTCCGAATCATTTCCTGAAGAACACTAGTTTTTGTATCACCTGAGAAGTGAGCCCCATGAGATACTGGAAGAGCCTCAGCCAACATATACAACAGGCGTATTGCTACTTCCACTTCCATAAATGGCTTGGTCTGCCAATTCCTGCAGAGCACAAACATTCTGAGTAAGGACACTAATAAAGAACCTAAAATACATGTAACTGTTTCAGGGGGACTACTCCATTAGCTCTGTATAGAATGAAGCATCCTTAGGGAAATACATGTTTCACTTATAGTCAAGACTGGATCAACAGTTGAATCCCAAATTGCTGAGTTAACAAGATCATTTTCGTAGTCTAGAAGCTCAAAAAGCTCAAACAGTTAACTACTTTTCACATACTGTTTAATGAGGACAAGAAAGAGTCAAATTTGACACAGCTGATAGCAAACTGAATAAATGCTTCTCAGAAATGACTCACTATTTATTTTCCTGGATATTAAAATTCTAAACTCTTGTTCTACATTGCTCTATCTAGTTCAGTGTTTAGAATGCTTATAATCGCCATTCCCACATAGTTTTCTCCCTCAGTTTAGCAGCAGCAATGTTTCTTTCCACCATCTTAGGTAAACAGTGGTGACAAAACAAAGTACCATCGTCCATCAACCCTTAGAGAATTAGCTTCAGAAAGGAGTGGGAAATAGCTCTCCAGCTATTTGGAGCTTTCCCTGGGGCTAACAAAACCACATAGATTTATAACTTGGTTAACTAGCAAGCAAAAATCAGCAAGGGAGTTGTAAGGCAGAAAAGCAGTGCACTTTAAGGTCTATATGTATTCATTTTATACAATCAGACTACCAACCATACTGCTCTATGTGGAAACTTAGAGACTTTTTATCCTTACAGAGCAGTACAGAAGCAGTACAAATATCCATTCAGCTTGAGGGATCCTGTGGGCAGCTGGTTGGCCACCATGTGCTGCACTGGATGGACCACTGGTCTAATCTAGAATGGCAGCTCTGATGTTCTTAAATATGCTGCTACGGGATAATAAGATAAATATGGAGTATGTCCTTGAATCCTAAGTATCAACAGAAATCATTCACACTAAGGGCTGTATCCAAGAGTATGAATCTACCCCACACCCTGTATCCCTGGCATGCCTTCAAAATTTGCTTTGCAGGAGATTTTTGGGGGACATTTGAGAGCAAATGGGAGAGCTGTGCAGGGGGATAAAAAGGGAAATTCCTATTTCACAAGTGGAAACTATTTGCATAGCATTGTACTTAGTTCTCAAAAAAAAAAAAAAAAAGCTAATGCTTACTATGAAAAAAATCCAGTAAAGCTAGACATGAAACTTACTGCAATGTAGTGTTAAAAATTCTGCGTACAGAGACCAACAGTAATTCAGGTGAGACCTGCGCAAGTCTATCCAGCAACAGTTTTAACTGTTTTCGATATTCTACAAACATTGCTTCATCTTCGCCCTGTCATTGACACAAACAGCATCAGAGTTGTATACATTCTTTATACCAGAGATAAATATAAAACAACAGACAAACCATACCACATTTTACTAGTTTATTGCAGGAACAGTGCTGATTGTTGTTACACAAAAAAATCCTTTTGCACTCTCAGGGGCTAAAGCTGTGCTAGCACAGGGAAATGTCTGTTGCACAGATCTACTATTCTGCAAGGGTTAACTATTGCCAGTGAAGCTTCATAACAGCACACAATGCTGGAGGATGATCTTCTGTGGGAAATGTTAGCTTGTAAACCCCTTAGGGCAGGGATGTATCTTGGTACCCTGCAAAGTGCCAGGCACATTGGCAGCACTACATAAAAGGAGGTGCAAAGAAGGGGGAGTTCAAAGTGTTCACTCCGTCCCAAAGGGAATCACAGCACACAGAGGGATCAAATGGTCCTGCCAGTCAAAGCCTCATTCTTTTCAAGGATGTGTAAGGACCCTTATTTGGTCTCACTCTGCTTTTGGCCTTTGTAGGAGTTGCCAATGACTATGGGAATCCTTAGTAGAAAGAAGTGCTAAACCACATAGATAGAAGCTGTTGCCTTTGAGATTTATCAGGGGGATAGTCCTGAAACGAAAACAGGACTCCTTAAATAGAAGTTTCACATCACCCAAGTCCAACCAAGCTGGCATTTCCTCAAATGCATTCCCCCCACCCCCACCATTAAAAAAGTGATTTTTCTTGATTTCTTTGGCTCCTTATGCCTACCTAATTGTTGTGAACTGCTCAGAAAGCTTTGGCTATTGGGTGGTGCAGAAATAAATAAATGACATCAGGAGGAGAAGAAAAGGTTTCTGCACTGCTTCTTTCCACCAATGTTTTAGCAAATGTTTTAAAATAAATAAATAAATAAATAAGACTTCTGCTTTGTATGCCAATGACCATTATGCAGTGTGTTGTATATTTGAGAATATACATATACATTCACTACTTGGCAGTGGGGTTCCCATAACAACTTCCCATACTTCTCTATCCTTGTGTCCTGTGCAGAATAATTAAAATGATATACTTTCCACATAATCTTGGCTCAGTAGTTACCAACTTACTCCCAAACCATTTCTCCTATAGCTAAAATGGCTACTAAGCTACAAAATAGTCAAGCAGGACATCTAACCTCATTTTCAAAGTTGTATTCTTCATCATATGTTAATTTCTTCATAACTGCCAACATAATTGCCTATAAGAAATAGAAAACCACTAATCAGTTTAGCGTTATTATATATGTTTGTAACAAACAGAACAGCAGATACTGTAACTGCAAAGAAGGGTTGAGGAGTGTTGCTAAATGTTTCACAGATTGCGCAAGTGAATTGGTACACGCACTATTCTGTGTTTCAGCAATCTAAATCTAGCTGCAAGGATTTCTAGGAAAAAATCAGACAGTCATTCGGTCTAAAATCGTCAAGTAAACAACCTCATTGGCGGGGGTGGGGGGGATGTGTAGCTCTCCAGATACTGTTGGACTGTAACTCCCATCAGCCTTAGGCAGCAAAGCCAATGGTGAGGAACAACAACAACAACAGTTGCAATGCAACATCTTCTCTAGGCCCACTAGTTGCCTATCCACACTATGCTGGCCCAGGATGAATGACGTGTTTGGCTAGCATGAGATTTTTTGAGTAAAAATGGTATGCAATGTATCATCCAAGCCTTTTTGAAAGAAAACTAAGGAGTTTACTAATTTGAGCCATATATTCACATTGGAATAGTTCACACAAGGCTGAACCATAGTCTAGTTTATGAAGTAACACTAAAATAGGAGCAAGCCTAGCTTTCCTCCAGGCTTGCACATCCCCTTTCGCAATTCCTCTTGCATGGCTGCAAAGAGTTCAGAAGCTTGCACTTCTGAATTTGTTTCTGACTAACCTCAACTAAACCTGGGCAAACCATGGCTAACCACAATGAAGGTTAATAGAAATAAACCAATTCAGAGTATAATTTATGAAGGTGGCCTACTTTCACTAGTCACAGTTAAGATGAATCACAGTTTCAGGTTCAAATGACATCTTAATCTACAGTTAATCTAATATGGAGGCAGAAGCTTTCTAATCTTATCAAACCTGTACTGGAGAAGAAGGGGAAAAGCAGCTTCCCTCAGGCATGTGGGGGAAGCAGCTGAGAAACACAGTCCCTAAGGAGACACTGCTACCCAGCTTGTTTTCGCTTCTCCTGCTTGTGCAGTGGGGCAGGAAGGGAATCAACTGAGAGGTGCTGCTCTTTCTCAGCGGTGAGCAGCCTATTGCCTGTTGCTGCCACAAAGAACTTATTTAGGGCCTAAGGTGGGCAGATTGAGCATGCCTCTGATAGCTGTGCAAGATGGCAGCTGTCACTGGGGCCCTCTGACTAGTCGTTTGGCAAGAGCATTAACAGGCCACTCTTGCCAAGCAGTGCTCTGCTGCTGGGTTTGATACTGTGGTGAATTGTGTTCTACATGTTCAGCCAATGCAACAAGCCATCATGGTCCTGAGAAACCAGAGAACAAACTGTTGTTTCTGTCTGCAGTTTCTACAGGCCAAATGTATCAAGCTGAATTAACCACAGTGAGGTCCAAATAGCACCACAGACCAACAATGGTCAAAAACCACTGTGGCCTGTTGTGTTGCGTGATCCTGCTCTGTGTATGAAGTGGCAGGGGATGGTTGGAGACAGATCAGTTTTGTCAGCTACAAGCACAAAAGAAAATGTTTGTCTTACCTCAACATTAGCTTTTTGCTGTTCTGAAAGCACAGGAAGCTGCAAAACAAAAATTACCTTTTAAAAATATCTTAAGCAATTTTAACATATTAATCCTTGACCATTTGTTTTAAAAACAAGCCAGGGATATCATTTTTAAAAATCAAAATTTTCAGAATGCAAGATTTCACCAAGCTGCATCATTAATGCATGCCCTTCAAAAGAGGCTATATAAGTAGTAGCTTAACCATCAGAAGTGCAGTTTACCTGTTTCAGTATATGAAGATAGTCATAACAAAATCCAATAATATTAGTAGATATATCGTCATCTTCATGAATCAGAAGTTGCAACATTAGGGGCACTTTTGCTTCAATAGCTTGTAAAGTATCTTGAGCATTCTTCATATCGCCCATCTTAACAAGTTTAGTCCAACTAGCTATTAATGACTGTCCCATTCCATTCACCAGTTTAGAGAACCTGGCTAGGAAGTCCACATCTTCTTCCTGTGAAGATTGAACAGCATTTTAGCACATTATTATTCTAGAGGCACTGAATACATTTGAGCAAATGATTTACTCAAACTTGAGCTACACCTGCTTCAGAATGATGGGTGCATGGGTATAGTATAGTGGCTCACTAGAAAATTCCCCATAAAAATTAGGTGGACAGTAACGCTCAGCTTCCCTATTAAAGCAAAGATGGGCACTTTCTCCACTCCTGAAGGCCACCTACAATGATGGTTCTGGAGTTCTAGCGCACTGATGAGCATAGTCCAGAGCAGCATTGCCCCACTTCACATATACCTTCCTCCTACCTTGGCTTCTATCTATTCATTATGCTTCTGTCCAAGCACTCCTACTACCCAGAGGACCAGTATGAAAACACCATACTGCTCTGCTCCCCTTTTGCAAAAAGCAGAGGGACATGCACCAATCAAACTGGAAGGACAGAATGAGGAATTGAGTTTGGCTTTTCCCACAGTCTTCCCTATCTAAACTGTGCTCCAGTCATCCCACCAAACAGCTGCCTGGCATGCTAGCTGGAGCATGTTTGTGACAGGAGGGGGATGCATGAGGAAAGTCATCCCAACTTGCCTCTTTCCCGATTTAAATGGTGTTTCCCAAAGATCACCACGGAGCTGTTTGGTCAGCCGAGGAAACAAAGCTGCAAGGCTCATAGCACAAGATTTCTGCAGGAATGCACACAATGGCCATCACTATGAGTGAGTGCAGGATAGCTTAGTGTTATGTAATCTGGCAGTTTTTCCATGGTTGCTTTCTGCAAACAAGTCATCCTAAGAACCCATTGTTTGTAGGAAGGCTGGTTTAGGGTAGTTTGTCTCTTGTGACATCTGAACCTAGAAGAGCCACATCAGCATGCAGTGCTTAAAATAGTGAGAGAGAAGCCTGTCAAGAGCAGCTCCTGTCTTGTTTGCCACTCATCCCATTTCCACAAATGTGCAGGATCAGAAAACAAAATTAAAAAATACTGATATCGTTTACACAAATTTGTAGGACTAGGAAAAACAAAAACCATGAAGTTCTGCCAACATAAAAATATCTCAGAAAAAAGGTAGAAATGGGGGGGGGGGGAGATTTCCCTCTGTGGGGAAAATGAGATTCTTTGCAACATATACATTTGAAAGCTATGTAATCAAGGTGGAAGCCTTCAGCTGTATGGAATATGAGGATCCAAGAGGGACTATGCTCCAAAGGCAGTTGGGATATATGCCAGGAGCTAAACGACTAAGGGGAAAAGGAATCACACCAAGCTACAGCATGCCCAATTGTCTGCTACAGTACTGTGGATTGTCCCATGAACAACCAACCTACAGTGGCTTATTAGCTCAGCATGGTGTGCAAACTTGCCCAATGAAAACTCAGGTGCGGTAACAAAATGAACCAAGCTTTCTTAACTCATTTATAGGAACCATTAAAAGAACCAAGTAAAAATACATTCCCATATCCGGAACCCAACTACTGAATTATAGGGTAGTTGCAGGCACTCCACTCATACAACAGCAGTGAGTATCATACTGGTATTATTTTTGTTTTTCTCTTTTCAGGTGGTAACTAACCTGGTCAACACTGAAGAGGCCAGCAGACTGTAACACTTGACACAACGTTTCTACCAGCTTTGTTTTATCGTTTGGATCCATTCCTTTATTTACTATTTCAAACAAACAGTCACATGCTTCCTCCCGTAGAACTTCTACAGACATGTGACCTAGCAGCATGTTTATAAACCTAGAGCAGAGACACATGAAAGCTTTAGTCAGAAGCAAACCAAAGCGCAGGTATGCATTTCCCCAAATGCATGGCTTGGCTTGCTTTTGATTTTAAGAAACAATACACCAGAGTTATGGCTACACTAACAGGTAGCATCCAGTGCTCTGTGCACATTAGCATCAGCCACTGCTGGAGCAATAGATCACTAGCAGTACTTTCTGCATCTGGAAAGCATGGAAGCACTCATTTCCAGAATGCGTCAGGTCAGCAGAGCTCACAGAAGAGAGAGGTTGCATTTGCGAACTGAGTGTTTATGTTCATGTGCAAGGCTCCGTTGTGCTAGCAGTAGGTTCCACAAAAATAATAGCACTAGCAGAGGAGCAGTGGCACTACTGCATACATCTCAGTGTTTCCAGATTGCAGCCAACTGTTTTTGACTGTATAAATATTGGAAAATGTTTCAGAAACTGGCTTATCTTTCTTTATACTTTTGAAGGAGACTAAAATTCCTCTATTGTGATAACACAGTTAATGCTTTCACAAATACATTTCCAATCCCAAAGAAACTTTACCTTTCATTGGCAATGAGGCTCAATTCTATCCAAGAGACATACGCTCCAACTACTTCAAGGCACTGACATGTCAGCTCTGAATTTGTATATTGATAAGTTTGTAAGATTTGGTACCACGATTCCACCAAACTTGGAATGCATTGCTCTCTCATAGTATCTTTTAACAAGGTATTTCTTCGAGCCTCCTGTAAGTATAACAAGGATGTGTCTTTAGTTTCTGATTTTTTCTTTAGTCTGGGTATGAGACAGTTCTTTGTAAACTGAAAATTTTGGGACAGGAAAAAAAATCTAGAAAATGGGGCTAATTCTTAGTTCCTACAAAGCATCTGCATAGTTGTTGTCCCTTCTTCATGCTTATGATATTTCAAACACAAAGAATGATTTAAATTATTTCCAGAGCAGCATGAACATCTTGCCAAAATGATAACATTTAACTAAACAGTTCTATAAAATATCAACTTGAAAATAATATTCTCAATTACATTCTGATTCTCTCCCTGTGTGTGTGTGTTGCAGCTAGCCTTTTTTAAGTGAAACATTTTAATATAATGTTAGTATCAAGACATTATATAATTTGATTTAGCACCTCAGGCCACAATCCTATAGTCTTACCTGAGAGTAAGTCCTACTGAACCCAGTACGACTTATGTCTGAGTAGTAATGAATAATACTCCACTGTAAGTTTAGACTTCAGTTTAGAACTACCAAACTGCGAGGAGAAATATCACTTTTAGGAGCTTTTTTCATGTACAGGACTAAGAAATTTCAACTTATATATGAACCCAATTCACATGTGACATTAAATCCCGGTTTAAGCACTATATGCACAAGCTAGAAGGAGCCTGATGAAGTCCTGGGCTGGTGTGCTCTGCTTTCTTCTTTTGCACAGCCAGAAGGACTTTGCTAACATTCTATCTTATTTTCAAAGAGCCCTGGCTGTTACATGTAAATGAGACATCATTTTTGATCACAAGAGCTGGTCAATTTCTAAACCAGCAAACCTCCAACTATGGTTTCTGAAGTCAGCTTTCGTGATTAACTAGAGTTTGTGATAAACCACAAATTCCACTTTGTATGCACTGACAAGCCAGGATTCTTGAAAGTTAAACTATACAGCAGCAAAGTCCTTTCCCAGCTGAACAAAAGGTGAAGAGAACAGAGCATGCCAGTCTGGGACCTCATTCTTAAATGTAACACTAAATCATGATGAAGTGTTCTGCATGAGCAAATCAGGATGTATTTTTATCCTGTAAAAAGGAAACCTCACCTCTGATGTATGAACAACATCCCTATCTACCAGTTCAGCATCAACTGCCATAAGGATCCTGAGATACAAGTCCACACCTCGAGGATTGAGGCCTACCACAGATAGAATATCAAAGAAAAACTTGGGCCATTTTGTGAGATATTCAGTAACAAACAGCAAAGCGAAGACTTGAGCTGCTTTGTTTCGTATAAACGTCTTCTCCGATTGAGAATTCACCATCTAAACAACAAAAAGAGAATAAAGAAGCATTTTAACATTAATCTTTCAAAATGGTGTATGCAAACATTTATTTACATTTGTAAATTAAATCAGAAGGTTTGGGGATACTTTTAAATAGCTGTTTCATAGTAATAGTAATTATTTAGTTAAGAAACCCACCTGTGCTTGTAGCCATGTTATGAGTGTTTCTCTGATTAGCTGGTGTTGTACTTCTGTTAACTGAGAATATCTGAAAAGTAGCACAAAATAATGCTCAAGGATTTGTAGATTTTAATTCAACTCTCTCGTACATACACATGGCAGTAAACTTCAGATTCTAAAGAATTTTGGCCTTTTTAGGGCAACTGCTAAACCACTAAGCTTGGAATAAATTTATTGGAGCTTGAAAAGCCCTATTGAAAGACAGGGTAGACATTCAAGCACACACAAAATCTAAAACTAGATCTATTTTCTATACCAGGCAGAGGCAACCTACTTTGGTATGAAGTTTGACCCCAATATGTCCCCTCCCACAAACCAACCTGGAAAGCTGGATGGCGTCACAAGGAAGGGGATGGGGACAAAGAGTACAAAGCCTTTATTATATCTGAACTGGACAGCAAAGTGTTTCCCTTAGCATAATTTGACTTCCCACTAAAAAGTGTACAATGAAATGCTCTTGTAACCTTTAAAATGAAAGCAAAGATAACATGGGGATTCCTTGTCCCAGATGAAGGAGAGGCCCCTTCAGAGGGTGCACAACCCTACATGGCCCAGTCTTGGCAACCTATGAGCCTGGCACTGCCCTCCTTTGCTCTGCACACTAGCATATATTTATATAATTTATATATACTATATAGCACACAGTATAGTATATACTGCCCACCCACTGAAATAATATAAGAAAGGATCTCACTTGTATTTAATTTGATGTTCCAGTACTTGAAAGCAGAAGAACTTGATGTGATCATCGCTTCAACAAAGAAAAACAATAAACAATATGCAATTTTTAGAAGAATTTATGCACCTGGATACAAGTTCTGCTATTTGGAGGGTAGATTTTACTTGATACATTTGCATGAAACAACCCCTTTTCAAAGTTTAATCACATGGCGTTTCCTCTATCTTGCTTGTGCGATGCACAAATCTAAAATTCAATACTGGGTGCAATACAGTGGGGAATCTCTTGGAACCTCTTGCAGCCTGAAGGCTGAATTTCATTTTACAGAAGCTGTCAGGGGCCATGTTCCAGTGCGGGGTAGTGTATAAATACCAGTAAAAGCACCTTACTATATCTTAAAGCTCTTATTATCTCAACCTTTAATAATGGGTGGTGGGGGAGGGGGGTAGAAAACTGCACAAAAGCTGGAAACCACCACACGATCTGGTTTTCGCCAGAAGGAGATGGGACATGGCCATCTGGAAAAGCATGGAGGTCTAGATTTAGGTCCCCAGTCCAACTAGAACATTACACTTATTCTTCCCCAGTTGGAGATAAGTGGATTGAGAAGCACACTTGCCCAAAGATATCAAAAGGAAGCATTATTTCTCATTCATGCTTCCAATGCAGGAAAAATGACAGATGAGCAAAGCCAGACAGCACACTTGCAACACTTCTTTGATGTCTTTTAGCCTGCAAATGGCTGGACAGGAACATCTGACTCACTGCCACCCAATTTTGGTTGTTCACTCACACCCTAAAGGAATGTCACAAAGCCAAACTAGGGCATTATTTGTATGTTACAACTACAGGTCATCCAGCGTTCCTATAAAGTGGCTCCAGCTCTTTAAAGTGCAGCATGGATAAGCAAGAGCAGCATGTCACACAGGGCATGAAGTGGAAGAGCCTTGCCATACATCTGCCATACCTCCCTAAACTGCATCATCTGTCAAAAAGCAGGTGGTACGGACTTGCAGAGACAATCAGGCCCAAACCTCTGGCTCTGAGGGGCTGTTCTCTCACTGATTTCCAGGGACATTGCCTTGTACAAGGCCTGACACTGAGGAAGCACCTCATTCAGTCCTGGCCAAGTTGTACTGGCCACTATTTAGGGACATGGCACTTCAGAGCCAACCTACTCTATGGCTCACTCTGAGAGGTGGGAGAGGCAGAGAGATGTTGGCTCCTTCTCTTGCTGCCACTTCCACATTTCCTGCAGCATGAGAGCAGCATCAGCCAGGCTCTCTAAAGCACCCCCAGCTGTGTCAGTAGGCTAGGCAGCAGCTCCAGAGGGCTCTGCAGTCCTGCTGGGGCAAGTGTCGCTGTGGAAGAGCAACTGGCAGGGCTCTGTGGAGGACCTACCCACCCAGTGGCACCCATGGAGGGAGCATGTGGTAGCAGTGAGCACATAATTCACTTCTCTCCCGCTGCTTGAGTCAAAGGATTGACTGTAGTGATACGTCTACTTTGATCCTCAGTTTTGACTTCTCCCAAGGAAATTAACCCTAACTAGATCTGGTTTGCTTCAAATTTCTACGTAGAATTGTTGTATTTTTTTTAAAAAGCCAACCTTATCCTATAACCGCAGTTTCAGCATGGCTACTGAAACTTGTTACAGTAAGTTCCTTGCTTAAAGTCATAGTATTAACACATATCATATGGTTTTTTTCAAGAATGGCATTCAGATGGTCAATTTTCTTATACTCAGAAGTTGCAACAGCAGAACATTATCATTTAAAAAATGCAACTATTTTAGTATGTTTTACCTGTAGATTCTTTGGGCTAAAGCTTCAGCGCACACCTGCCAAGCATCTGGAGATATCTTCAGCTGTTCAAAATAGGCCAACGCCTGAAATTATTCCCAAAAAGAAGGACCTCATTTATAAAGAAAATACAGTTGTAAAGAAAATTGCCAGAGCAACATTTAAGGGAACACTCAAAAAACAAATGTTAGGTCCATGGATTCTTCGGAACTCTGAAGCATGTACAGAAAAAAATGAATGGCACAACACAGTGCTTTCGAAGTTACACTTGTTCTGTAAGCACACATTTGCTGAAGAAAGTGGAACAAAGAAGGGTGGTAATTGAGCAGGAGGAATCTGAGGGGAGGACAGATGGAGGAAGTGGATGCCTGGGGAATATGGTGCAGAATAAGGGGAGCAGAGGAAAACCTCGTACAGTTCCAGGAAACCCAAGAGTCTAAATATTATCAACAGGAAGAAGAAAAAGAGAGGAATGCCAAGGAGACTAGGGCTGTAAAGCTAGTCTGGTTACTAAAAAAACAAAACAAAAAGCAGTGGGGAGGTAAGAAGGAGCAAGGCATAAAGAAGGAGTATGATTGAAGGACAATACTGTGTAGTAGTCAATGTTCTGAATAAACAGGAAAGGTTATATGGAAGTAGAGACTTGAAAGAAGAGGCATAACAATGAGAAAATAAATGACTATGGGGAAAAATAAACAAGCAGGTGACAACCTTACAGAACTAGACTAGGGGATAGAGAAAAAGCTTCCATCAATTTCAATGCCTTTAAACCCAACAGATCTTCGGCTGCAGGTCTGAACTATTTAGTCTAAGCTAAAACTGAAGTCATGTTAGTATGTAGGAAGCTACCTGTTGATATCAAAATTATGAGGAAAGTGCAACTAAACTTACTCGTTGCCTGAAGTCCAAGTCAGCATTTGGGTTTAATCCCAAAAGAGCTTGCTCATCCATATCTGCTGCTATGCTCCAGCTTCTATATGTTTAACAGGATTATCCCATTCACCCACAGTAGAAGCCGCATACATCTGCAGATGAAATACAAGTCAACTGATAGAAAGAAGCCTGAACTCAAGCCAGTCCTTACATTTTTTTTTTCCTTGCATGAATCCATAGAATATTACCTAACCACATTCTTACAAATTTTGTGTGTGTGTGTGGGGGGGGGGGGGGGGCGCGGTGCTTTTTTTTTTGAATGACATAGGTGGACAAGGAATGAAGCAACGTCCTAAGGGTACACTTGATGACATGGTTCCTGTTTCAGTTGTTTATTCAGTTGTTTCTTATTGCTTGCAGGCAAGTTATTAAGTGCTTTTCCCCCTGAATGTTATGATAGGCATATCCTCAATCTGATAGTCAAATTTAGGAGTTTTTGGTCTTTTCTACTCAGATTAGATTCCTTTCCTTGGTCCGTTTTGAGAGCTTCATTTCTGGACTCTCTTCCCAAGTGGGTTGCATTAGGCACTGAGTTGCCAGCTATGGCTGTATGGCATTATAAGCAACTGGAACATTTGTAAGAATCCATTTCATCTTACTGCTTTTATGACTTCATAGCTACCTGTGTTACTGGAAGTACTGAGGCAGAACAGTTACATCAGCCTCTGAGGCATGTTTATAAACATCTATTATCACTGAATAAAAATGACACACAGGGTATTAACCAGGAATGGAATAATGAATTAGAGCACCCCATCTTGTCAAATCAGAGAAGTATGTCATTATTATCCATTTTGCAGGGGACCATGGTTCTTAGGCTATGCTTAATTCAGCAGAAGTGGATGCTTTGAGTATACTAGACACCACAACATCTTTCTGATGAGGGCTTAATTAAATTGGCCAACTGCTGAAGGTACAAATGGTGCTAATGCTTCTCTTCTTCATATGTTTTGGGAACACTCAATGGCAGCTTCCTCTTAGGAGAGGATAATAATTCAGATGGGGTTTACAATAGAAAGCACTTTAACATTCAAGGATTTTTTTTAAAAATCTAACCATCTCTTGGAATTTAACATAATGTCTATGTAAATAGATTTTCCAAGCCCTTTTGACAGTTAAAAGACTACTCTCACATTATTGAAAGGATAAATGGCCACCGACAATAACAGAATAAGTGGAGGATTCAATGAAACTTTCAGTTTTTGAAAAGGTTGTCTTTAGACATAATCTACAATGGATAAATATATAGATGGTTTGAGTGCCTTTGTTTAAGTTCACACATTATTATTTTAATAACAGTAGTATGTACTGTTATATACTGACATATAGAGGAGTATAATTTATGCAGTCAGTGCTATGGTTCTTTTTACATTTTATTCAGAAATTGTAATGCTTATGTTTTGTTCTCCCCCCACCCTTTTCTTCTTTAATGATGTGGTTTGGGGAGGGGGGGGTGTTGTACTGCATAATTATTTTTTTATGCTAACAACCACCTCCTACATACTTCCATGCACAGCAGTGGTACTACTGTCCAGTACTGGGTCATATGAATTACAACTGCACATCTCCAAAACAGAGAATCGTTCCTGTACTCTTTTGCTGAAGCATAAATGGAATTAAACTAAGTTCTTCAAAGTACATTTTGCAGGATAAAAGGACTGTTTAATGGCTGACAGCATGACATTCCACCTGGGCTTTGATATAGATATTTTTAATGAATCCACTGTGTCAAGCATTTATTACTAAACAGAGATGTCATCATTTTTTCTTTATACATGATACTGTAGGTTTGGCAAGAATGTTCAGAAACTCAGCAAGAAGAGGATATGAATCATCAAAGTACCTTGTGCACATTTAAAATGTAAGTATTTAAGTTGGATAGATGTCCACACAATAAACAAAGAGATTCATGTATATGCAGTTAGTAGTAATATTATGAAATATTGTAACTTTCATATACAAAAACCCATTAACACTACAAACCACCAATTGCAGATCACCAGTTAAAGGCCTGTTTCAATTGACTTTTCACTAGTGAACTGTAGCTGATGTTCAGCATTTCATACTAGTACAAGTATGACTCGCACATAATTGAGCAAATCAAACACAAAAACTGTGCCTGAGTGTTCATTTGCTGCCTCTCCCAACCCTTTGCAGTGGTAAATTACATATCAGCTTTAAAAGAGTGAGTACTACAACTTCATACTTCTCAGATTTAAATACCCATCCTGCTTTCATTTGCACAAAAGTTATTTTGAACACCTCATTAGAAGAAAAATAACTGAAAAATCACTAAAAAGGCACTCTGAACATGGTGCTCAGTATATGTGTAACATGATCTTAGCTTTTGTGTGAGCTCTGCTCTTTCAAAGCAGACAAGGTAACAGAGGAGCACATCACAGCAGTTAAAAGGGTACCATCATACAAAATCTTATTTATCTTGACAGTGTTTTATACTAAAACTCTCCAAAAAAAGATTACATAAAAATTAAAACTTAAAATACAGATAAAATCTATTCCTGAAAACTACGACGCTAAAGCAGCAGTCCCCAACCACAACATAATCCAGCACAGCAATTCCAGTAAAACAAGTCAAACAATTTAGAACAGCAACAGTATAAATAAAACTTTCAACACAGCACCTTTAGGTGACAGCAGGACAAAACAAAAGGATTTACAAAGCCCATTTAAAAGCTGATAAAAAAGTGGACAAACAAACAATCCCTACATTCTTTTGTGTGGACAGACTAGTGAAAGGAATCTTAGCATTTTGCTTTTATAGATATCACTGCTGTTTATATTAAATTTGTTGACAAGTCTTCTTGAGAAAAAACAATGCAATTCTAAGAGTGCAACAGACTCGTGTCTATTCAAAAGAACAACCTATTGGATGCAATGGAGATCGCTGCCAGGTGGCAGGGGTCCCCAACTTTTTGGGCTGATGGGCACATTTGGAACTTAGAAAGCATTGTCGGCAGTCTCACAAACTGGTTCCTATGGGTGGTGAAGGGGCTTATCCATGCATAAAACAGCCGCCATGATAGGCATAGCCAGTCACAAAATACTTGTTCCCTTGTACTTTCCTCTCTGAAGAGAAGAGAGGTGGGTTGTCTGCCGGATTCAGATTTCTGTTAGTGAGACAAAGTTTTCATGGTTTGCTTTCTCTGGAAAGAGGTTCATTTTTCCACAGGGGTTCATTGGAGTCAAGGAATGGAAAAGCCTTGCCAAATTTCCCAAGTAAGTCCTACCCAACCTGGTGCTCCTCAGATGTGTTAGACTCCCAGTATCTCTAGCCATGCTTGGAAGTGTAGCCCACCACAGCTCAAGGCAAGCACATTGGGGAATATTGTCTTAACTGATTTATCAACCTGAGAGCAGTAGGATCCAACATCAATTTTCCTGTTCCTTGCCTGGTAACAGTATCTGGGTCACTGTTGTTTTCTAAAATTCTTTTTAGAAAGGAATGGCATTTAAATACTCATCTGGGGGAATTAAAAGAATGTGAGTGTGAGTATGAGTCTGTGATCACTTGCCTCCCTTTTTGTGTGCTGGGGCTTAATCAGGCATGGAGACATGTGTTGCCAATTTAAATAAGCCACAGCAGTTTGTTTTAATTGTGCAAATCAGGTCAGGGATTCATCATAAAGCATCTTTACATCTCTCAAAGAGATCCCACAGAACTGGGTTATTTTCATGCTATTTCCTATTCTTAGTCAGAAATGCAACCCCGCTATCCTGTGTTTAGATTTAATTGATGGCCAGATTTCTCCTGCTTAAGAACAGCAGGCCTATTAGCCCTCCTGCAAAGCGTTTACCATCCCACCCACTACGATTCATTTGCATACATGGCACTGTACTTTTCCAACTGAAGCAGCACACAGTGCAGACTGATTGCAACACAGTTCCCAAAGCTTGCAGAGGATGGCCTACGTTTAACTGACTTTGCAATGACAGCGGAGCACCACAACCTTTTAAAAATTTCATCATCCTGTATCTTGTAGAAAGACAAGTGGTGAAATAAGAAGCCAATTTTCACGCTGGTCCTAGAAATAAGAGAACTTGTCCTGATAAAATTGAGTATAAGCTTTTGCCTTTGCAAAGTGTATCTGAATATTTAACCCAGAATCAACATCATTTTAAGATAGTAAATTAGAGAATAAAGACCAAATGGAACTACCTTCATTCTCATTTCTAAATAAGGGTAACTATGCTGAAAGGCCAACCCTTTTTAAAATATATTTTTAAGCCAAAGGAAAAAAAATTAGGCTGCCAGAATGGAAAAGCACTCATTAAGGAATAGTCCTAAGGTTATGCCTGCAAGCCTCTGAATTCAGCAGCTTACAGATATCCAATGCAGAGAGAGAGAAGCAGTAGAGCAATTTCTAGCTCTCCATTATCCCACCGTAGATGGGTTTTTCACCTATCTCACTGAAGTGTTTCAGAGCACAAGGGAAGGAGGCTGGGCATGTGTCAGGATAGCTCACATCCTGGCCTCTCCAGTCTCTACCCTTCCTCTGAAACACCCTTTGCCCCCTCTCTCTACCAAGCTCAGAGGGCAGCTGCCAGTTCTTTCCATCCTGGCTGCAAGGGAGTTCTGATTCCCAGCTCAAAGGATGGAACCGTTGGATTCTGGAAGCTGAAATAAGCTATGGCCATTCATATGCTGTCTAAGGATCGTAAGATTCATCTTTAATTTTTATTAGGATTCATTTCAAGTCACTGCTGCTTCTGCCACTAGTATGGTATTATCTGCATATGATAAATTAGCGATGTTTCTTCTGCCAATTTTCACTCCTTTCTCTGATTCTTCTTTCCTTATGATATGTTCTGTGGACAGAACAGATAATCTGGAACAGATAAAAAAAACACTCTTGTCTGACACCTTTGCCTATGGCAAACCATTCTATTTCTCCATATTATGTTCTAACTGTAGCTTCTTTGTCCAGGATACAGGTTCCAATCAGAACACTCAAGTGCTGAGGCACACCTATTTCTTTCAGGACCATCCATAGCTTCTCATGATCCACGCAGTCAAAGGCTTTGCTGTAGTCTATAAAGCACAGAATGATCTTTTTCAAAAATTCTCCTGTGTCCTCTATAGTAGACAACGTATAGTTACATGATCTCTGGCGCCACCTCCTTTTTGGAATCCAGGTTGGATGACCGGCATTTCTTGCTCTATGCAGGGTAGTACACTTTGTTGCAACACTCTGAGCATCACTTTGCTTGCATGGGAGATTAAGGCAATGGCCCTATAGCTAGTGCACCCTTTTGCATCTTCTTTCATTTATATAGTAAATGTTCCAGTCTGTAGACCATTGTTTTGTTTTCCATATTAGTTGACATATTTTTGTTAGGATTTAGACTGATTCATTGGACTAGTTCCATTGTATCCTATCTACTTTGGGTGCTTTCTTCTTTGCAAGTCCTTTCAGGCAGCTTTCACTTCAATTTCTAATATTGCAGGCTCTTCTTCACAGGAGTCTACTTCAAAGAAGTCTCTCATTCCTTCATCTGTTCTGTATATTCTTTCCACCTTCCCTTCCCTTAATTTTATTTTAGTCTGGTTAGAAGTATGTTCCCTTTTTCTTTTTTAGCATTCCTACTCTGGGTATCAATTTCCCTTTGATTTCTTGGAACAACTGGAAGAGGTCTGTTATTTTTTTTTTCCTTTAGCTGCTCTTTGCACTATTTCTTTGCACTGATCATTGTAACAGTTCTTTTTGTCTCTACATGATAGTTGCTGAAAAGCTGCATTCAGGATTCAGATCTCATTTCTGTCACCTTTTGCTTTTCACCTGTCCTTTGCAACTGTGGGTGTTTCTTCTGTGATTCACATAGGCTTTTTCTTTCTTGTTGCTACAGAAAATGTCTTTTGGCAATCTTCCCTAATAATGTCTCTGGTTTCAGCCCATAGTTCTTCTGGTTCACAGTAAATTAAGTTGAGCAAGGCAAATCTGTTCTTTATATAAACCTGAAATTCGTCAGGGATGTTATTTAAAGTTATACATTTTGGCAATGTGTTTCTGCTGGGGATCTTTTTTAGCTTGGCTCCGATTTTTAAATTAAGAGCTGATGGTCACTACTGCACTCTGCTCCTGGTCTTGTTTTGGCAGCAAGAATTCAGCTTCTTCACCTTCTGTTTCCAATTACCAAACCTATTTGAAAGCTGAATAAGCCATCTGGTGAAGTCCAGGTATACAGTCATCTGAGTAGTTGCCTGTGTTTGCAACAAACAAGTCACTGTCCATCTTATTCTGGGAAATAGTAAATAGGGGTCTCTACCTCTTCAGCATGAAAAAAACTGAACTAAAATTGCTGCAGTATTCAAGACTTTGTGTAATGTCCAATTTTACTCCATCTATCAACTTGAAAAAAGAGACTCATGGTATGGAATATGAGGCTTTAAAGACTTTTATCATAAACATTTATTTCAGAAAGTGTATGATTTGCATACAGTGCACTATAAATACTATACCCCAGTGGACATAAATGGGAGAATAAGTCTTCCTGTTCTCCTTCCTCCCGGGCATCAATAATACATGCCAGATTAGCCGCCTCATCCACTATTAAATCGTAGACGAATGTGTTTGGATTGATTTTGCATTTAAGAGAGGCACCTGGATACCTGATGGCAGGCTGATGGGGCACCATGGATGTGAGGAGGGCTGGATACAGTCCAGCCATTAACTTTCTGTGCCATGTTCCCTTTATCTGGATAGCCCTCTCTATGACTGACTGAGGCCCCCAAAGTTCTCTCCCACTTGGCCCTGTGTCTTCTCTCCAAAGCATATCCCTAGGCCATAGGGAAGGTTCTAGGCAAACTGGTTTGGGTAGATCTCTTCTTTTGTCAGGATTATATTAGCTTTATCTAGCTCTTGTTTGCAGTAATAGCCAGTCAACCACAGTTCTTATCACCATATCACAGTTATTTACTTTGTATTATAGATTTACAATGGCATGGATTGGGTTGCCTCTCTACACATAAGAGTAACATTTAAATCCAGGGTGCACAAGCTGTTCTAGTCTGAGGACCAGATTCCCCCCTGGACCAAAGCTAGTAGACCAGAAGACATAAAAGGATCAGTCTCCTGTAATGTCTTGGATGTCATAGCACCCATTTCTCTCCCCTGTGCAGAAAAGCATGGAGGCCCATGCTTTCCACCACACAGAAAGCAACTTTGCTGACACATGCAGGAACCAGCACCTCTAACCAAGTGCCTTTTTCGCACCCTGCCAACATCTCCTTCCCGGCTCAGTGGCATTTTGTTTGGGGTGTAAAGGAGGTGGGAAGGGATTTGGCTGGCTGAGCAGAGCATCTGCCTTGCTTGAGCTTTTGTGAGAAAGTGTACTATTCATCACTGTTCAGATACTCCAGCATGGACAGTCAACATCACATGTGCATACAGATCACTGGAGTAGGCAATGTTTGACGAGCTGCAGCTTTGCATGCATGTGTGTGTGTGTGGGAGGGAGGCTCTGTGTAGACTGCCACCACTGTAGAATACTGTGAGCAAAAGATACAAATCAAGCATCGGATTAGCATTCTGTACAGCACCCTTCCTGCTGCCTTCCAGTTGTTTTGGACTACCACTGCAAGACTCCTAACTGATGGCTGTGGCTAATGGGAATTGAAGAGGGTCCCAGGTTGGAGGCTACTGCATGGTAAACAGCTGCAATACTAAATTAAGCGTTTTATTTATTTATTTATTTATTTTACCCAGAGTGCTTCTGTAGCCACATCCAGGCTGAACAGCTCGTACCTCACAGTCTCAGTCATGCACAACGTGATGCCATCCCCGACCTATGCACTACATATAGAAGGTTGAGATACAGCTCTTCAACGTGACATTTCACAGGGCCCTACCTTAAGACCCTACTTATAAATACCAGAAGAAACTACACAACCAATGAATAAATTTTCCACCAAAACAAACTGGACTGTATGCTTGCAGGAAGGCTACTTGTTCACAGACCCCTCTGTTGGTCCCCCCACCCAACATCTGGTCACCAGGAACAGGCCCCAACAAGCAACAAACACAGAAACTAGACACTGCAATAAACCCAGATACTGACTCTTTCCCTGTATCTATTCATGGTAACATGATTACAGGTCCTAACAATGTTGCTCGCAAGTTCCATTCATTCATTTGCTCATCTTCCAATGTTTGTATATGCCATCATCTGCCAGCTAATTCTGTACAAGACAAACAGGTCATTCTTCATGCGAAAGAATGGACAAAAACCTGAAACCAGAAATGGCTGTATTCAAAAACACATCACCTTCCCAGTAGGCTGCAGCACTTGACTTTTAAGGCGGCTGCAAAAAAAGGGAGATTTGAACAAGACATCACAATTCATCACAAGGTTCAATTCAATTTCCTACATCTTAACTATGGATGAAAGGATTTTTTCCTCTAATCACACTACATAGTGTTAATTTGTTTAGCTGATGCCAGGATGGTTGTGTTATCAACAACAAGCATTTTGTAAAGGAAAACTTAATATTTTGATTGTCACTGTTTGTACTTTCTGCATGTTACTTCACTCTAACCTGTTTACAATTCCTCCCAAACACATGCTGACATCTAACTATCTGTAATTCAAAGTAACTCTTCCTGCATCTGATGAGATAGACTCTAAGCCACTAAAGGCTATATGACACTAAACATGCCAATTGTAAGGTGTCATAAGACCACTTGATGCTCTACCTCTGGTAACTTGCACACAAGGCAGCAGCAGACAGTAAACAAGGATTTTAGTCCATGTATTTAAAAACACGAACAGCCTGATTCTATGCATTATCATGCTATTGTGCACATGTCTGGTGGGCCACTGTGTGAACAGAATGCCGGACTACCTTGTCCTTCGGTTTGATTCAACATGGCTTTTTTTATATTCTTCTGCTGTTTGATATAGCTAAGCTTACTGGTATCACTGGGCTTCAGCAGGTTTGATTAGCATAAAATAGAGTTGCTACCTCACTCTGATGCACTATAGCACCATGAACAGAATGAATGGCCTATAATAGAAATGTGTCATTGTCACCTGAACCAAACACGCTGTATGTTATATGCTTTACGCAACACAAGTACATACACTGATGGCAAATGAAAGGTATCAAACAGTAGCTTTGATTCCAAGCTACTTACTAAGCTTGTAGTAACTCTCAGGCCAGGGTCCAGATTAGGCCCACTTTTTAATGCTAGCCAGCCCCAGCCCATGTTCAAGAGAACTTAATTTGAAAAAGTTCCCCATCCTTTCATCTTCACACCAGGCACTATAAAAGTGAGGCTTCTACCTCTCTTCCATACACGCGGACTGACAACGTGGGGCTGTTCACTGGCATTCACGGGTATTACTGGGCGGCCAGGAATACGTCCCTGTGGCACGAGTCCATTCTCACCTGCGGCCCCTGGGCTTTTATCCCGGGAAGACTGGGATCCGCCCCGGAGGAGCCTGCCCACCGGCACATGGGATCACGAGGCGGCCACACCACTGCCCGCTGGGGCCTGCCGAGCAGAGCGCGCCCTCTCCCCGCCACTGCATCGCAGCTGGGGCAGCCTCCCGGCCATCGCCTCCCGACTCCGCAAGTATCACGGCCACCCTTGAGCCCACACTTCGCCCCATCACGCATATCCGCCCACTCCGGTTCCACTGCATTACCTTCCCAGCTATTCCATCGCGCTCGCGCAATCCCGAGAGGCCGCCACAACTGCAGGGCGACCAGGCAGAGCAAGCCCAGCAAGGCCACCCCTGCTACGGAGCCCGCGGTCCGGCAGGAAATTCGCTACAAAGCTACTGCGTGTCGAGGACGGGGGACAGGGAGAAGACACAGTTTCCCCACCTCCCTTTCCCCAGTTCCGCCCGGGAAACTGCCACAACACTCCAAACTACGGCTCCCATCATACCTCGCAACAAGCCCTTCGAACAGACACGGCGTCCTCCCGCTAACAGCCCGACATAAAGCCAGCCAAGGGAGCGGAAACAGTTTTTTCACTCCGCGGTTTGGCCACACTTCCGCCAATCAGAGAAGGGAAGCGCGTTGCGTGTTGGGAGCGCAATGCATGCCGGGACTTGCAGTCCTCTTTGCAGCTACGTAGGACAGAGGGTATGAAGTTGCCTCGCAGCTTTTCCGAATTTTTTAAAGGTCTTCTCCGGATAGGGAATAGTCCTCACAAATAACCCGATACTTTAGATGGGATGAGTGAATACGTTGGCAAAAGCTGCATGTCATGTAAACGGCAGTTTTCCTCTTAAACCTTTTTATTTCCATTGCTTCCCCTCGACCGCGTGTCAGATGCTTTGAGCATGCCAACATTGCATGTATTTTTATATGAGGTTCATGGCTTCCCTAGGGGAACGCTGGGAATTGTAGTAACCGGACGCATTCAATAAACAGATTCCAACATAGTATTGTAGATTGGGTTTTGCTCTATAATTTTACTCGAAAAACATGTTATATTGGAAAACTGTTAAAAGCATTATAAATGAAGGCCACCGTGCTAAAGTTATGTTAAGCACTTCCTTCTTCCCAAGGCAATGAGAAGTTCAGGAGTCATAGCATAAGGTTAAGTTTTTTTTTCCATAAAAGTGCAGTGGGATATTACAGTATATTTATAATATTAGTTTTATTTACAACACACAAGCAAAACATAGTACAAGCTGCTACTCCTGTAGCACAGGCAAGTATCAGATTCCCAAAAGCAACAACTGTTGACCTTTCCTCTTCTCCTACTGTCTTGCATCTCTTTAAGGGTCATCAAATCTGCTTAGACTTTCACTCCTTTCTGTGCTCTACCAATTTCCAGGTTTACATTCCCAGATGTTTTCTTCTGCAGTCACACATTTCTGCAGAGCACTGGCCTCAAATTCCAACTTGCAAATGAGTTTCCCACTGGAAAAGCACCACTTAAACATTAGGTCACTCCTTATTATAAGCTGGTCAAGCTGGTCCTTAACAAATGATGGTCACCCCTGCTATGCAGCCAGCTGTCCTTATTGTCCTTCTCTGAAGTGGTCTTTTAATGAATTTTAGCAACAAGTCCTACTGAATCGAAACCTCAGTAAAATAAACTGAAATTAATTTGATGCACTTCAGAGTATATTGTCTAGGACTGTAGTAGAAAGCTGTAACCCTCGACTAATGTTTGGAAGTAAGTGTCATCTCATTAATTGCTTGGTATCTGCAGTCTGGCACCCAGCTCCTATGCACTTGTATCTGGAATCTTTTTAATTATTTATTTATAAATTAAGTTTTCTGTAGGATTGAGGGCCACACCCATAATGAAGCTTTCTCCTAAAGCAGTTGTGCATGGGATTGCAGGTTTAACTTGCTGACTTTATGTTGTTTCTTGCTAGTCTGGTTTCCTAGCAGGATAATGCAAGGTGAAGTGATCAAAGATTTCAAGCTAAGATGCAACCCTCTTTAAGGAGTAAAAGACACATCAACAGAAAAGAATGGATATGCTTAATGGGGAGGAGGGCAGAGAAACATCTGAAGGGAAGCAGCAATAGTTGAAGGCAACACTGTTGATGGATCCTTCAGGAAAAAATAGCAGTGATGTTCAAACTAATTCTGGTTAGTGCACAGAAAAAGGCACTTCTGAATATTTCTTACCATGAAAACCCTACAATGAAACAATGCAAGATGTAATAAATGGGCTGCTGGCAGTTTTGTTGAGCTTTTTTGTTTTATTTGTATTTTTTTAAAAAGAAAATCAAACCATACAACAAAACGGTAAAACTATCTAGTGAACCGGTTCCGGGCTTTAAGCAATATTATAATAAGTTGAAAGATGCAAGATTAGAAATTATACAAACACATGAACATCAATCATATTTAACACAAGAAAACTTTGGCATCTATTCTTTAACTGCAAATGGGTAATATTTATATATTTTTTAAAAATGCCATTTATGTCATTGATGGTGTGCTTTGGAATTTAGGTCCATGACTACGTAAAGCTTCCAATAGTTTATTATTAATCGGTCTGACAGTTTTTCCATATGTATGTTTTATTGTTTTTCAAGAGAGATACCACAGATACCGTAGTGTCATACTATTATACTTGACAAACTAGGATGAAAGTCACAATATTGTTTTACATGTATTATGTACAAATTAGAATTATTAGACCACTGAAGAAGATATGGTCCAAATACATTTGTCTAGTGTGACCCACATCAAAAAGTTCTTGAGAGGATAAGCCCAACATAACAGTTTTATTTCTTTCATAAAAGATAGGTTCCTAGAGGATTCCCTGCTAAAATAATAGACCCATACATAACTTCATGCATTCTGTAGTAACAGAGGCAAGCACCAGATAATTAAATCCTTAAAAAATCCGAATACTGTGCATAACTGTTTTTATTCTAAGCAACCAAAATTGCAAAAAATGGGTAGTCTTTCGGATTCTCCAGAACTCTTCATCAGAGTAGCTGAATTAGAAAACTTGCATATGTAGTGGAGTTGTGATTGGTTACAACAAACGAACATACTACGCATGAATCTGAATTTTTTTCCCAGAGTGCAACACATTTTGGCTTACGTTAGGCTTATCATTGAGTAGCTATAGCATCTTGCGTGCCCGTTCAAGACAAACTATATGAAAAACTACGCTAGTCTCGTATGGTTACCGCCGCGACGCAAATCACGCACTAGCCCTCGCTTTTAGCCCGGCCCACAAAAGGGGACAACCAATAGAAATGGAGGATTTACGGACGGACGTTCTTTATACCCAATTCGGAATGTTTCCTTCAAACCAATGGGCGATAGCTCCTTTCCGTCAAGGCGGTACCTGGACCGCGGAACTTGCGAGCTCAGAGCGCCGCGCATGCGGGCCTTCCTTTTCTGGGTGGCCGCGAAAGAGGCAGCACCATGAAGGCGTCGGGCACCGTAAGCGCTGCGCGCGTGGCACGCGGGAGTCTAGCGCGAAGGAGGGCGAGCGAGCGTCTAATCGCGTGAAGGAGGGGAAGGGACACAGTACGGGCGGGGTGCGGGCAGGGTCGCCTCTGAGGAGATCCCCTCCGGCAACCGCCTTCTCTGCCACGAGCGACAGCCCAATATGGCCGCCAGTGCCGCTCTAGCTCCTCGCAGCGTGGAGCCGGCGCGTTGGTGCGAAATCTGGTGCTTCGTCTCCGCTTTTAAGCTGCTCCCTCTTTTCGTATGGAAAGAGCAAGGGGAGAAGAAAATGCGGCCTTCGGTTCTGAACACGCCTGTCTGCTCACCTTTCGTTCCCTTGCACCGTAATAATTATTTTCGTTCTCCAAGGTAGTTTTCAGGGATGCTGCGAGTAGGCAGGCAGTGGCTGTTGAAGTATACTCTAGTAAAGCAAGGGTGAGAAATCTGTCGATGCCCCTCACCACTCACTATGCTGGTCGGATCTGATGGAAATTACTAGCCAAAGCATTTGGAAGACCACGAAATGCGTTTAAAGTTTTTTTTAAAACCCTCAGTTGTGTCTTCATGTAATATAATACTTGTGATTAAGATAAACTAGTAGTGTTACGCGTCAGTGAAAGTTTGGGGAGGTTTAGAGAGATTGTGTTGTTGTGGTGGTTTGCCTAAGCCCTGCCTAGTAAATGAGTTTATGATTAAGGTGAGATGCGAACCTGAAAGAAACACTACCAGCAGTGTTAATGATGATGCTAATTCTCTAGTGTTAACTTGCTCTTAGAGGCTTGAGTATAGAAAGCAACATAGGTTAGGAGATCAGTTTGGTTTCTTCAGTGAGTAACTCAGGGTTCACTCTTACACAAGTTTAATCGAAAAAAGTCTACAATGCTGATGCTTTCAGCTGTATTGGAAGCAACTGCCATAAGCTCTGATCAGGAAGGCTGTGGTCATGGATTCTGGAAGTTGTAATCTAAAATATTTGGAAGGCATCAGATTTCTACCCCTGACTTGAGTAGATAAAGCGATTTTGTAACCATCATCTTACAAATAAAATAATTATGACTCAGAAAAGTACAGTTGATGTTCTCATGCATGTGCTCTCTCTTTTTCTCTCACAGCTGCGGGAGTACAAAGTTGTTGGGAGATGCCTTCCCACTCCTAAATGTCCAACACCATCTTTGTACCGTATGCGCATCTTTGCTCCTAATCATGTTGTTGCAAAGTCCCGCTTTTGGTACTTTGTTTCTCAGCTGAAGAAGATGAAGAAATCTTCTGGAGAAATTGTATACTGTGGACAGGTATAATAATGGGAACATTATTGAATACTGAAAACAGTGTTATTTATTTTATAGTTGAAGCGATTGATTGAATGCTTGTATTTGCAGTTACCTGGACAGTATATATTTTGGACCAAGGCTCTGGAACATTAAGAATGTCCAACTCCAATTTTCCAAAATTGTTGGCTCTGACAAAGTGTTAAAATTTGTAGATAACATGTTTGTGTGAAACTTATGCTGCTGTTCATAAAGTTGGTAAAATGCTTTTATTTAAGAAATCACTTAAAAGTAATGCCTGTGCTTATCAGCACTATACCTTTGGGCCATTTGATGACTCTTAAGTATATAATCTCTGGATTTAGCTGGATGCACTGTCTTAATGTTTGGGTACTTTGTGTGGGTTTGGAAGAGATACAGAAAAGACAGATATTTCTAAAGAACAGTCTAAAGCAGGCTTTCCTAATCTGTTCGACATAAACACACTTTGGGGTAAGGTTAGTCAACAACAATGGCTTCCAGAACAAGTAGATTATGAACTGTGATAAATTAATAGAAACTCATTGTTCAGTAGAGAGAGCCCAGGGCCGCCACCCCCACCCGCCCATACATACACACACACATAGATATATATATCATTCTGGGACTGACATACATTATTCCTTACGTACTGGAATAAATGCAGGGTGGATGGAGGGAGACTAATGGACACAACCATGGAGATAATGTTAGGTATGGGGAAACTTCCTCACTTTCTCCAAGAGGGGCTTGGAAAGCAGCAGATGATCCACTGTTTCACTTCTGTTTTTTCCCTGCCCTGCATGGCCCATGTTGGATTGCTGTATAAGACTGTAATATTTCTATGAATGTCTAGTCTCTTTGACTGTAGAAAAGAAGAAACAACTTAATACTTTAACTAGTATAGTGAGAAGATCCTAACAAGGTATATCCTGTGCCTTTGAGAGTTGAGTGTGGGGAAGAGATGGGGAAATACACCTTGGTATGCATTGTTAAAAAAAGAATTCTGATTAATTTATTGTTGATCATATTACATAAAACACTGATGGTTCATAACTCATCATTCTGACACTGACAATATGGTACCTGTAGGTTTTTGAGAAGTCTCCACTGAGGGTGAAAAACTTTGGTATCTGGCTGCGCTATGATTCTCGTAGTGGAACTCACAACATGTACAGGGAGTACAGGGATTTGACCACTGCAGGAGCTGTTACACAGTGCTGTAAGTAGAGACCATTTGGAGTGTTGGGTGTCCTTTTTATACCACTAGGCAACCATAAGGAAAAAATACCTTGAAAAAATAGTGGCTTTGTCATTATTGTTTGTACGGCACAGTTTTAAATAAACTTGTCATCAATTTGGCAAACTTTTTATTAATCATTGTCCATTGCAGTCAGCTGCAGCACTTATTTCTCTTTCAAAAATGATGATCATGTTTCACTTAGAATTGTATGCTTATTGTCAATCTTTTCATTTCATGTGAATGGTGAGTTTTAAAAAGCCTCATAGTAGTTAAGTTGCTGCTTAATATATTGTAAATAAGTGATCAATTAAAATATGCAAAATGTATTTTGTTTAGGAAAAAGAAGTATTGGAAGTTCTAAATTTAATTATTGAAATATGTTCATGTGTGAAATTGGAGATGTTTCCTGTAAATATTTTGTTCATGTACATTTTAAATCATGTACATTTTACATTTTGTGTCCTGATCACAGCCTTGGATATTCTGACTGGTCTTGGTGGCCTTTCTGGGTGTCTAGAACTAGTGTTAATCATTTTAAAAGGATAGCTTTTTCCTCCTCGTCGGGCAAAACAGTCTTTTCAAAGAGAGTTAAAAAAGTTAAATGAAGCAAAACTTACTTCATTTCCCCCAGCTTCTTGATTTTCCGGAGTTTTGAACTACAGCTCCCAGCATATCTGATCATTGGCTATGCTGACTGTGGCTAATGAAAACATGGGGAGGGTATCCTTAGTGGTGTGGTCTGGTTCAGTAAAGCCAAGTATGACTCAAATGTTTGCAGAATAAGTTCCAGGCTGAATATTATATAACTGTAACTCTCCAATTATTTCTATACATAGATTTAGCAAGAACAAGTGATATCTCTGTATTAAATAATAATCAGCCCTATATTTGTTAAACCTCTAAAATGCTGTGCTTAGCTATGATGAAAGGTACCTAGGAACATAGTATTAAGCACAAATTCCACTTAATAACGTCTTGCCAGAAAATTGCAGTTCAATAGGAACATATGCTGGTCGTGGACAAGTGTAGGTAAATTGGCATACTGTGTGCTTAATTTTGACGAAACCCGAATTGTAGGATGTACTGCACTACCATTGTGCTGTCCTGCATACCAGGTTCCAAAAGAACTACAAAGTTCATTATACCACAAACTCTGCTAATGCACCTATACAAATGTTCTTGGATGCTACTTAGAAATGCTTGAAGATAGGTTTGATGATGGTATTTTTCATAGGCTTACTATTTTGGGTGCCATTTAGTATCACCTGCTTGCACATTTTCTAGAACATCAATGAAAATTAAAACTGCATGCAAACCCAAAGAGCATTGTTCATAATAAAATGTTCTTGTCATGTGTGCAGAGAGCAAATGTACCTTGTCGCCTTTCAAGAGCTGAAGTGTTTTTGAAAGTGAAATTGAAGGCCCTACAGGCAGTTCCCTAAAGATTGCTGTGTCTGTCCATTGATTGTCTGTAAACCCCTCTCTGTGGCAAATGGGGAGGGCTAAAAATACAATGAATAAATAGAAATACTGTGATACAATATTGTCCTGCTTCCTTTCATTGAAGTAGTACATAATGTTCTGGCATGTTGCAGATCGTGATATGGGAGCCCGTCATAGGGCCCGTGCTCATTCAATTCAGATCATGAAGGTTGAAGAGATTGCTGCTAGCAAGTGTCGCAGACCAGCAGTCAAGCAATTCCATGTAAGTAGAGCAAACCTAAACACAAGCTTACTTAGCTTTTTTAAGTTGAAGATATCTTAATGTCACCGATGACAGTAAATATAAATTTTAGTAGATAAGGAGTTGACCTCTTAATACAGGATAAATCTTCAAGTTCCCTGAAGTACCTCTATTATTTAATATTTTGGATATTACTTTTTATTTTGAGGAAGTGAAAAACTACCAAATTTATTTCGATAATATAAAATATTCATTACTGTAAAAATGTACAGCTCAAATACCTCATTTCAAAACTGCAGAATTATTTTACTTGGTTTCAACATACCATACATATATCATACATAGCTTATTTTAATTTTCAATGTTCATTTGAAAACTTGCTGTTTCTAATGCTTGCATGTTTTATTTTTCATGATTCTCCTCGCATGTACTGAAAAAGACCTGTAATGTAAATATTAGTGCAGCAGAAAGAGTGCTTTTATCCCTAAGCTGTTCAGTATTCCATGTAGTACGATGGATACTATTTTAAACCATAGTAACTCTAATGTAATAGTGCACATGAATGAATGGCACATCTTATCTTGAGAATCACTTGAAAATAAAATGAAGCATATTTTAAAAGTTACAATTCAGTAAAGTTTTAAATATTTTTGTAGTTCTATTAGGAAGATTATATGGAGCCTAAAATGCACTGTATATTAACGGAGGACACATGATTATTTTGCATTAATGGCATTTAGCCACTTTCAGACCTTTGTGCATGGGGGAGAGGAGGTTAGAAAGGTGTATCATCATTGTTGATATTAATGAGGCTGTTTTTAATAACTATTGTTCTTATAAAGTGATCTGAATAATTACTAAAAACATAGAATCTGCAATTTATTTTAAGTTAGCCTATAATAATAGATGTACTTGTGCCTGTTTTTTTCTACAGGATTCCAAAATTAAGTTCCCTCTGCCACACAGAGTTTTACGTCGCCAGCATAAGCCACGCTTCACCACCAAGAGACCAAACACATTCTTCTAAATGCAGACTTATTTCATGTGTTCTGGGTTTCGGTGAAATTCTTCTTGAACATCAGATGGTTTTTGATAAATAGAAATGTAATTATACTAACCTGGCAAATAAAATGTTATGGTGGAATTATCACTTCCTGCTGCACTCCCTCTGCTTGTTCCCAGTTCTAGCTTTAACTGCTGTGCATCTCTCTGGGAGGAGTAGGCAGAGAGACCTGGAGGATTTCAGTGGAACTCAAGCTTTAGCACCTTGACTCATTCATTTCAACACTGAGTGCAAAAGCTCTGTCAGGGCAGCTCATAACAAATTTGAACACAGACACAGTTGGAGGCAAGCCTTGATCTAGCAGGCATGCTTCTAAGGCAAATGTATTGTCAATCTCAGTTTCATAGTATGAATCTGTAGTCTTGGAAGGGTCCATCCAATTTGTATTTGAGTAACATTTTATATCACTTTTCAGCTTTTTCTTAAACCCACTGACCATACTATTTTGGGTTATCTAAATTTCTCAGAGGATCAGAAAAACCACATGGAAAAGTTTGGACCAACACGCAACTCTTTTGTATGTACAACTTTTTGCAGAGGTGATATGGGAAGAAATCTCACACAATCACCAACAAAGGGAATGACCAGGTGTATAAATATCAGTACTACCATCACTTCATTTCTGTAGTGCCCCACAGCTGAAAAATATCCTCTTCAAGCTAGATCAGACCCTAGTTCTTACAAACTGCAGAAGGGGGTATAATCGCAAGAGTGTACCAGGATAGTACTGGTGCACAAAAACTGCAAGTACTACTGGGATCTGAGGGAGAACCAGGGCAGCTGCTTTCTGTCCATCTGCCAGAACATCAGCCATGGGCCCAGCAGAGGCGGCAGCTTTCCAGGCCTGCAGAGAGGGCAGACCAAAGCAGTGCTGGTGCAGAACCTAATTTGAGTTCCACAACAAGTGGTATCCAGGAGCGACAGCAAGCTGTACATGCCAGGGGCAAGCCTGAGGTCCTGGCTGTTACCCAATGTACTGTGCCGCGTGTATGACTATCTGCCATGTAAGGAGCTCCTGATTCTCAGGGAACTTGTGTGTTCCCTTGAAGTTAAGGCTGCTGACTTGGAGAAAACAGGTAAACAGGCTGAATGCGAAGACCCTTGGCCAATTCATAGGGTCCCAACTCCTGGTGACAGCTGATCTTGTTATGGAGAAGGGGGGGTCTCAGGAAAGATGGTTGTCATTCTGAAGAAGAGGAAAACGATCCCTTAGGGATTGGAAAGCAAGTTTATATGCTCTTGCACTGATGATAACCAGTAGGGAGGAAGGCTCCTGGTGGCAGATTTGATTATTAGAAACAGATAACTGGGTTTGTAATGGGCATGTGGACTGCATGGAAAGCGGAATACTGTATAATGGATTTAAAGGAGCACTAAGGGGGCGATACTTTTGCAGAGAAGCTGAATGAATGTCAGAGGATACAGAGTAGATAGCCACACTTACGTATTCTGGGAGTCTGAGGGACTCATGGAGGTAGTGACAAAAAAGGAAGTTCTTAACCTTACCAACAAACTGAAAGGCAGTGAATCACCTGGTCTGGATACTATCCATCCTAGCATTCTCTTAGGAACTCAAACATGAAATTGCAGGCCTTCTTATCAAAATATTTAATAAGTTGGTATGAGCCTACTTAAAATACTGGGTTAACCTGAATGAGGTCATTGAGCTGGAAAAAGTACAGAGAAGGGCAACAAAAATCAGGCCTAAAACAAGTCTCCATAAGGAGCAGCTTCAACAACTGGGACTGTTCCGTTTAGATTAAAGGTGACTAAGGGGAGACATTTTTCTTCTCACATTACAATTGAACTCATGGTTGAAGTTGACTGGAAAAAAGTTTGGGACAGACAAGAGGAAGAACTTCACACAACGTATAGCTGAACTATAGAATGCATTGCTGTCACATGAATTAGTGATGGCCACGAATTTGGATGGCTTTAAAAGTGGATTGAATAGATTGACAGAGGAGGGGGGCATCAATTGCTACTAGCCTTGTTGGCTATGTGCTATTTCCTCAGGAGGTAACATGCCTACATTATACCAGTTGCTAAGGAGCTTGGGTAGGAAGAAGTCTTGCACCCATCCTGCTTGAGGGATCCCGTTTGTCCCTGCTGATGGGAGTGCTGGACCAGGTGGACTCTTAGTTCAATCCACCATAGCTCTTCCTGTGATGATTGGGAGGGGGCAGTCTGGAATGCTATTCCATACACAAATATTTTCGGCACATTAAAGATTAGCAGGTTGGACTGGAAACTTCTGTGCTGCATTACATGCTAATTCCCATGTAAGGTGAGACAGGTTATGGCCATAACATTCTCCAGAGGCTGATCCAACAAGTGTTGCCTTAACTATTGGCTATGTTGGCTGAAACTGATTGGATTTGTAGTCCAGGAAATACCTGGGGAAAGAAGCATATATTTCTCAACTGTGGCTTAAAATAATTGTCAAATTCAGAAGTATACAAAGGTAGTTAAGTCTGCTGGTCCTTGTAAAAACTGCACTTTCATGCACCTTTTTACAAGGCTGACTATAATTTGGAAGGTTCTGGGCAAGCTAACTTAAGCTGAAGGGGGAAGGTTGACAATTAACAGCCTTACCCTTGTGAGTTTATTTAAGCCTGGGCAATGAATACATATCTATGCCCTCTGAATAACATCCTGGGACTGAGTCCTATGATGGGTTATCCCTGATCAATTCTATCAATACATCATGAACGGTGCTTAAATTGATTGGGAACTATGTAAATATTATATGCACGGGTGAGTTACACAAGTGGATTTCAAAGCAGCTCTACAATCTCCTATTGTAAGTCCTATTCCTTGTTGGTTGCATCAGGTTACCTGAAAAGGTCGATTCGTTAATGTTTCTCAGGTGGAACCCGGGAGGAGAAACCTTTAAAGACCCTCCAGTAATTAGGTAATAAAGATTTATATATTGGAGATGGGGAATTTCAAGTCAATTTTTTCATTAAAGGAAAGATGACTGCCGATAATCTGTATGTCCCTAATAATAGATTACTATAGATGACTGCTTAGAAGTAAGCCCCACTTAATTCACCGGGGCTTCTCCAAGAAAAAGGAGTGCAGCCCTTAGTTTTCGTGTCCGATCTTTTTCTTAGGCTTTTCATTTCCCAGCAGCTGGTGGTTCTGGGAATTGCAGCCCAAAGCATCTTTGGCAGGGTGGGGAAACCAGTCTAGGGAAGGTCCAGGCTGTTCCGACCCCACTGCATTTTACTGGAAGTAACGAAAGGAAAGCCACCCGTCCCTCGCCTTACGCGAGAGCCTGCACGCACCCGCTTGTAAGCCCGCAGTTCCCGCGGACGCGCCTTCAGGAGCCACGTGACGTCGCCGCGCCGCTCCCCAGGAAGGGGCGGGGCTTGAGATTGTTGTGGCCTGCTCGCGCCCCCACACCCCCGTCACGTGACGGCCGTGCGCGCTTGCCTCCGCGCCCGCGCTGGTGTGTGGAAGAAGTGGCTGAGCGCTGCTGCCGAGCGCGTCGCGGTGGCGGCGGGCGAATGGGCGAATCGATCCCTCTGGGCGCGCCGGTGCCGGTGGAGCAGGCGGTGCTGGAGACCTTCTTCTCCCACTTGGGCATCTTTTCGTACGACAAGGCCAAGGACAATGTGGAGAAGGAGCGCGAAGCCAACAAGAGCGCCGGAGCCAGCTGGCTCTCGCTGCTGGCGGGTCTGGCCCACCTGGCCGCGGCCGAGAAGGCCTACCATAGCATGACCTTCCTGGGCCAGAAACTAGGTACTCCCCCACCGCTCATACTCGACCATCGTCCTCCTTCCTTCTCTCCCTTCGCTTCTCCCGCTCCGCTCCCACCTCCTCTGGATGCTGCTTTGGGGCTTCTGCCAGAGCAACGGGCTCTTGCCTCTGAAGCCCCGAGTCCCGAGCAGCCCCACTCCAGATTCGAGGCGTGCCATATGTCGCTGGACTGCAGCTTCCATCGTTCCTAGCAAGTATGGTCTTTGGTGAAGAAGGATGGACAGTGCAGTCCAGCTGCATCAGGAGAGCGATGAGTTGCCCATTTCTGGCCCGCGCGCGCTTTTCCTCGCCAGCACTGCCGGGCCAAGCACGGGTACTAGGAAGAGCTCTTTTTTGAGAAGTAAAACTCGTAGCGAATGCCTGTCCTAAGCCTGCCGGCAGCCAGTGTGCTTAGGCCCATGCTGCTTTTTTGCCCCCACTAGGCTCTGTACTCCAGTAGGATAAGCTGTGGGTTTCTGCTAATATGTAGAGTGCCTGCTCCCGTATTTCTCTTCTCTCTGGCTTCTCGCCCTCCCCGCACATTTGAGATCGAGGTTTTAGGAGGGGCATCACAATTTTAGAATTCAGTAGAAATTTCTCCGTCACTTCTTTAGGGGGAAAAAACCCCCGAGGCATAGTTAAGAGAAACGTTTGCTGACAGGGAATGCGTGCTATATGTAAAAGTCACTGTATGATGGCATTGTTGATCACAAAGGCAGGTCATTCTTTCAGGTGTTCAAATAATCTTACAATTCCTGCATCTATCCCATGAAAATGAACTCATGCAAACAGAGCAAGAGTGATGAATTACTCCACCCTTCTTTTCTAATACAATACCTAAAGAATTTATTTTGAGCTAGCCTTAATGAAAATTCATCAACAGTATCATGCTCAGCCTCTTTGTTGCCCACTCTTACTCTAGAGGAAGCTAACAAGCAACATCCACTTTGGTTGTTTGAAGGCAGTATTGAGTATGATACAGCAAATAAGCTAAGAAAGGGTTGTATACCATAATGAGTAGCATGTGATGGAAAGACAGCAAATACTCTGTTAGTCAGCAGCTTGTATGTAGCTCTAGTTCAGTTTTTATTTAAATCTTTACTGTTATTTTAATAGCATTATGTGTAGAGCGACACTGGAAGTCTGACTAATGTGTTAGTATCACTAATGTGTTGAACTTTTCTTATTTTGGCAATCAGAAGATGATTGCAGCATAGAGTTTCATCATCATCATCATGATTCATTGCCTAATTCATGATAAATTGCCTAATATGTACTAAGTACTGTACAAAAATAAGAAACATAATTCCCTGCCTTAATGTTCACAGTCAAAAAAGGCATGAGACAAGATGAGGGAGGAACTGGAAGGAGAGGTTAAAGATGTGCACTGTCTGGGATACAGTGTAAAAGAATGAGAGAGAGTGGAAGAATAATGCGGTAGAGGGAAGAATAAAACAGGCAAGGCAGAAGATGAGGTGAGGCAGTTAAAAATACAGAAGGCAACATTCTTTATTTGCATTTATATCTAAAACAACAGGTGTTTAGAAATAGGAATTACTGCATATTTAAACTACCTGCGTCCACTGTGTTCCTCACATCTGACTGCTTAGCTCCGCTGCTTCCCCTTAATGGTTTTTGCTAATCCCTTGAGGTGTGATGATGTGGCTGTTGGGGAAATATGTACTTAGGCTTTCCTGATTTTAAATAATTTAAAATGTTCTTGTTTGTATGCTTTTATGGACTAATAAGATCTTTGAACATATATGGCTCTTCCCTTTATCTCAAAATCCAAAGTCAGAACGATGCTATATGCATGACTGTACAGTTTACATTTTAGTTGGGTTTCATGTTTTCCATGGTCAAAAAGCACATTTGAGAGTCTAGTGTTATTAATAGCAATTTGAGTTAACTTTTGTAGCAGCATAGTTGTCTGAAATCGCTGAGGATGAGGTTCCTTCAGGGTTGCAGAAGTTCTTACTGGCAAAGCTTAAACTTAGTCTTGCAACCTCTTTGAATATCAGGAATGGGTAGTGAAGAAGGGTTAGACATGACGTTGTGACTAAACAAAACAAACAGTGGGGCAATGTAGAAAAAGGCTCTTGATGTATAAGAACAAGTATAAGTTAATTGATTAATGTAAAGGGCTATTATGAAAAAGTGATATCTGCTCTTCAATGTGCTGCTGAATATGTAATTTATGGTGAACTAAATAGAGTTTGGATTAATAGTTTTGCATTATGTTTACCCTACATGTTTTCCATCCATTGCTTTAAGTAATATATATTTTTCTTTTAAAAAATAGGTGGTCAGTCATTCTTCAGCCGAAAGGACTCTATAAGAACTATATACACATCTCTGCACAATGAACTGAAAAAGGTGGTGGCAACAGGTCGGAATGCTGTGGGAGGAACAGCCCCTCATTTAGAAGAACTGCTTTCTCACCTGTCTGAACAACTCTGTTTTTTTGTTCAGGCGCGGATGGAAATTGCTGACTTCTATGAAAAGATGTATAGCCTCAGTAGCCAAAAGTTCATCAATTCTGAGGAACTAGTAAACATCTTAGAATCCATCCTAAAAAAATATAGCTCAAGGTCAGTTTGTATACTTTATTATGGTTGCCTTTTTTATACCCAGGATTATTAAATACCTAAATATGATACTTGGCAGAGCAGTAGGCACAGTTCTGGTTCAATATGTTAAAAGGTTTTAGTTTACATACTCGTGGACATGTCATAACATGTCTGAACATTGTCAGCAAAGTTTGAGCAATTTACTTGTGTGTTTTCTATGACCAGATGTTGAAACCTGAATATGATAGCATTCCGTATTCTGTTTGACAAGTGCATCGGTGCTCTCATAATCACTTCTTCTGTCCCTTTGGTTTTTTAAAAAAAGAATGAGAATGCCAGCCAAATTGATGTGTATTGCCTTAAATTGAAAAGATAATCACAATTTTTGGGTTAGTACAACATTGAATGGCATACAGATTCCTCTGTAAATATATGAAAAATAAGTACTTGTTACTAGCATGCAAAGAAGGCATGTTCAACCTTTGTTTTTATCATGCACCATAATAATACAATACATCTGTCACTATATATATATATATAGTCTTAGGATATAGAAATGAATAGACTGTCATAGATATTGCTGTGACCAAAAAACTTGGTCTGTTTCTTTTCTTTAACAGATACACTTATAGTAAGGAGTGATACTTTAAAAAAAAAAAAAGCACAACAGTGTATTTGAGTAGGTCTGTTACAGTCAAAATAAACAACAAATTGCTGGGATCAGCATAGTACTTTGTCAGTGCTGGGCAGTTTCTATGTTGAGCAGTTTTACCTGCAGCTTGGGTCAGTTTTACTGTTCTGTCAATTATTTTTCAAGGAAAATGACAGTGTGGAAATAACTGTTTTTGAAACATAGTATATTATCTTTCAAAACTGTACAGATTCAAACCATCTATGACTCAGTTGGTTGCTTTAAATATTATTCTGAAAACTGCTTTTTATGAAATTGCTTTCTCATTTGAGCTTTCCTCGGCTTCAGATTTTGATTGAGTTAGCTATAACAAATTAATTAGAGGTCATGGCTAAACATGTCAATAGACTTCTTTAGACACAGATTCTTCATGAAGGAAAGGACACACATTGAAATGTTTTGTACCTAGAACTTCATGTACAGAAACAAATGCAGTTGTCATTATTATGCCCTTCCAGGGTATTGCAAAAACAGGTCAGCCTCAACTCTGTTTTTCTGTACTCTGTCCTGATATGTTGGTGATGCAAATTATCCTTGCCCAGATGTTCTCAGCTCATTTTGTAGTCATTTCCTTTAAATTTGAATATCTATTTTTTGTTGTTAAAGTAATTTAACAAATCAAAGCATGTAGGAAGGCAAGAAAATAACATCCTTAATATGATACATAAAGTAAAAATATGATTCATAAAAGATGGCATAATCCACTTAGAATATTTTCTTTCTCTAAAACCACCTATTTTGATTATTACATCTGATCTTTCTGGCGAACTAGGAACTGCAAAAGCAGTTTATAGTAGACCCAATTTATTCCTAATAGAAATGCCCACATCTAGATCAAAAAGTCTTCATTCAATTTTGGAAAGATAATTCATTCATAGTACTAGTTTATTATGTGGATAGCTCAGTTTGTGCTGAGTCCAGGTTACTCAGAGTTAAGGAGCAAAATCTGCTCTTTCATATCATAGAACAGGAGAGTTGAAAGGGGCTATGAAGGCCATCAGTGTTAGTCTACAGTGTTCCTACCTCAGTGAGGTATTTTATTTTCTCTTATTTGAATGGATGCCTCCCATTACATTTCTGTGTAGAAAAATAATGGGATGTACTTTTAAATAGCATTGTTGTGCAGCCAAAAAATGTGCCCGTCTCTATCACTGCTTAAATGCCTTGTCCTGTACTGAGATGGATACATAAAGCATAGCAGTTTGTTAGAAACACATCACCTTACTTTCTTTATGGCAAAGGCAATGAAAGAACTGGGTGTTTTCACTGCTGCTTTCCTTCCTCTCAAGAGCATCTTCTGACTTGGAAAAAGGGTTGAAGGATTCCACAGGAAGATGTTGCTTTTGACTGTTAAAGGGCAAAACTAGACCTGAAAAATAAGCTCAGTTGTTTCCTAGATTACAGACATATCGAATGTTGCCTTACTGCTGTTCAGATCATGGTCCATCTAACTCAGTATTGTCTGCACTGATTGGCAGCATTCTTCTGGGTTTCAGATGGGTGTCTTTCCTTGTCAAGGAGATGCCAAGGATTACACTGGAGTCATTTGCATGCAGAGCAGATGTTACACTATTGAGCAGATGTGCCCTTGAGTATAGTAAAGATATTGACCATCATTGAGGTTACTGCCTTTATGGATGGGGCAAAAGAGAATGCTTGACTTGTTGATAAAAGTTTTTAATCCCTTCTGTTTTTCAATCTGGGTTTGTGAGTGGAGGACTGCCAAAAAAAAAACCCCTACTTTGTCATAAAGTGATTTCATATAATTTAATTAATTGTGCTTTCTATAAGTCTTCCAGTTTTTGCAGATATATGATTGTCTATTCTTAGAACTAGGGATTCAGTAGGTGGTATTGAAAGAACATTGGTTGCTGTTTACCCACAGGCATGGCTCAGACTTCAGGCAAGGGCAGGCTATAGGCTTATAAGATCTTGTTTTTTACTAAAACTCTTAGGTGCACCAGGTGCAAAATAGCGAACATAAGGATACATGCATGGCTCAGGAATTTATGATGAGTACCAGAACCAAACTCATAGGTCCTTTCATACAAAATCCACTCTTGGTTTCTCCACAAGGATCCTCTTTTTTTGAAAGGAAATGGCATTTTAGGTGTTGCCATTATTCATTTGAGCATCAGAAATCACTGTCAATTTACTAGGAGATTCTGACCTACCTTCTGCCCAAAATTCCAGAACTCAGTACTTCCTAGATCCACAGCTGATGGAGAGGATAGGTTTCTTCCTGTAAAATGTCTCATGCTTCTCAAAATGTGCTTTGTGTTCTAGATTTCATCATCCAATCCTTAGTCCTCTTGAAAGCAGTTTCCAGTTAGAGGCGGATGTGCTTACCCATCTTTTGAAGGCTCAGGCACAGATCTCTGAGTGGAAGTTCCTCCCATCTTTGGTCCATTTGCACAGCGCTCACACAAAACTGCAGACATGGGGACAGATTTTTGAGAAGCAACGAGAAACTAAGAAACACCTGTTTGGCGGTCAATCTCAGAAAGCTGTTCAACCTCCACACCTCTTCCTATGGCTGATGAAACTCAAAAATATCCTCCTTGCCAAATTTAGCTTTTATTTTCATGAGGCACTTAGTCGACAAACAACGCCATCGGAAATGAAAACTTTGACTGCAAAAGCCAATCCTGATTATTTTGGGAAAATTTCCAGCTTCATCAGGAAATATGATGCTGTTAACGTGTCTTTAATCTTTGATAACCGTGGGTCAGAGAGCTTTCAGGGGCATGGTTATCATCACCCCCATTCCTACAGAGAGGCCCCAAAGGGTGTAGACCAGTACCCAGCAGTGGTATCTTTGCCCAATGACAGACCTGTGATGCATTGGCCCAATGTCATCATGATTATGACCGACAGAGCTTCGGACCTCAACAGTTTGGAAAAAGTGGTCCATTTCTATGATGACAAAGTTCAAAGCACATACTTTTTGACTCGTCCTGAACCTCATTTTACCATTGTAGTTATTTTTGAATCCAAGAAGTCTGAGAGAGACTCTCATTTTACCTCTTTTCTCAATGAAATTTCATATTCCCTTAAGAACTCTAAAGCTTTTGCAAGCCTGAAGCCTGGATCCAAAGGATAATGAACACTGGATGTTAAAACCATCTATTGGACTGCAACAATACAAGCACCAAGTTTTCAGAAATATCCATGTTGACTTTTAAAAATATATTTTAATACGTGTTTAATGTTGAATATTAATATTTAATAAGTATTTGTGGAATGAATAATTTGAATGATAAAAAGTTAAGTGGGACTAACATAAAAGCTACAGAAACATGCACTATAAGGACCAGGATGGTGTTTTGCTCAACTGCTGTATTAGTATTTTTTTTTAAGTCTGACACCTTGTTGCCCTTACCTGAATGGAATATATGCACTTTATAATTTGCTGGACATTCACTTGCTGGAAATTTGGTCTGAAAAAATAAGGAGTGGATTCCTTCTGCTATTAATCATCAGTCATATTCACTGGAAAGTATTAGAACTTGGAAGCAAATAATTGCAATAAATTAAATGCAACTTGGAAAAGTACCTTCATTTTTCATATCTAATTCCATGGTTTCTAGAAGCTATCCAGATGTCTGTAGGAGAAGTACTTCATGGTTGGAGTTTGGACTCCAGAGTGCCCACTCTCTGCCCTTGCAGCTGGCATGGTTGTTCTGTGCTGACTGAAGCTCTGAAGTTGGAAGACTCACTCCAGAGCTGGTGTCAGGCGAACAGAGAATAGGAGTGATGCACCACCCTCCTGCAAGGAAGCCTAGCAGAGCCCCTGGCTCCTCCTTGCTAGCTGTGGTAAAAGACACGGATAGCCCAAAACAGTGGTCAAACTGTGTTTTGTGGAGTGAAGGAAGCGTATAAGCAATCTTGTTCTCTGTTCTCTATTGTTTTCTGTTAGTCTCCTAGTTCAGAGGGTTATAGGTAGCCATACTGGATTGGGCTGTTAGAATTAATTTTAAGGACCAGAATTCCAGTGTAGTCTTTGACTGTAATCCAGGAAATCTCAATTCTAATCTCCACTTGGTCACAAAGCTCACAGAGTAACTTTGGACCAGAGTTGTTGGGAGGATAAAAATTGAGGAGCTAGATTATGTAAGCAACCCAGAGTTCTTTGAAAATAAAAAGGTGGTATAAAAATAAAATGAGAGAAGTGGAATAAATAAATTAGAAGAGAAACAGAACTAGATAATTAAAATGTGGTTGAAAGGTTACTTTAAAAACAGTAGGCACAAAATTTCATATTACATTAGCTGCATTGAGAGTATAATATATTGGTTTAAGTGGAAGTATGTGAATTTGCCTTTTGCCTTTTCGCCCCTTTGTATGAACAATTGGAAATCTTCCATTAATTATAGTTTTCTGTTTCATACAAAACAGATCAAGCCAGGATAATAAGCCATGACTTTAAGTTACTTTAATAGCCTGAATGGTTCCAAAGTGATTACTAAAGTTTGCTAGTTCAGGCAATGTGGGAAACTATAGTTAACAGAAGACTTCCTGGTTTGTTTGCTGGTTCATTACAAGGGCTGTATACACAGCAAAAAGGCTCAGACATGGTTTACTCTGCCAAGAATGAGTTACAGTAAGTTACTAAGCCACTAAGTATATCAGGTTTCAGTGATGGCGACTCAACTGGCCAGGTCACATGTCACAATAAGCCACCAGTTTAATTCACCCTCAGAGTGTGGAGACAGGTGTGGCTGCCATTTTGCACAGGCACGCTGTAGCAGGGTTCTGGGATTATCCATGGTTCCTTAACCTGTGACATCTGGGTTTGCACAACATGATAAGCTGTGATACACCACTTCCACTGCTCACATAATCAGTTTGGCTTCTGGCATGTGTCCATAAGGCCCACAGGTGAATTAACAGTGGCTTACTGTGGCATATAACCAGGTCAATTACAGTGTCCAACTCTTCCCTAATTGTAGTTGTGCACATTTTGTGGATAAATGGCAATAGCAGGCCATATAACAACACTCATCGATGTCACTAGCTTTAGAGTTATATATGTAGAGAATCAGTAATAAAACATTTTTCTTTAAAATGTCATTTATATAAAGCTTGAATCACTGCTGGGAGCAATCCTTCCTGTGCAGCATCCTCTGCCTTCCTTTGCACTACCAATGACCGATAAGCAAATATGAAGGCATGTTAAACGTGCATGACATGTTCCCCAGGATGATGAAAGTTGTCTAGCACATTTGGAGGGCACATTTGGGGAAGGCTGTACCTTTAGCCATAGAATTCCTACGATTAAAGGGAAATTAATGCTAGACAGGAATGCAGGTCAGTCCTTCCTTCCAGGATATGGGCTGCATGAAATGGATGCATGAGACTGGCTAAGAATTCAGTATATATTGGGAAGAAAAGCTAGCATAGAAATCTGAAGTGCTCATCTTTGCAGTTTTTACTTTCAATACAATTCAGTGGCTTAGTAGCCACTGTGCTGGGTATTTAATGTTACATGACCAATCCTTGCCATCTCCAGCTAAAGAATCTAGGAGCTGGGCTGGGAAGTCTTCCTACTGTAGCTAGTGATCCCTTGATCATTGGTCTAACTGGTTCAAGGCAGTGCTCTCTATCCATGTATAAAGTATTACCTACTCTGTAATCACTTTGGTTGCTCAAAATAGCAGCCTAAAAGCTTTTCCCATTTCAGGTTCTTGTCATTTCAGTTACAGGTCTATTTTCAAGACGGAGAATATTAAAAGTAGACTTTTTTGCTTTAAGTATAGTTGCAACTCTTACATTTTTAATAGTGTTCTTACTGTAGTATCTCCTTAAAGCACATACTCACGCACACACCTCTGCCCTAACTTGGAAAACAAAGGTCTGAAAGTTGAGGTGTAGCAACATATGCTTTAAGAATGTTTGGTAAACATACAAGACTAGTTTTATATCTTGTGTACTTCAGTGACTGTTCTCAGCCTTCTAAATGGGTAAAAACATAACAGCAACATATTAGGCAATCTTACATGAATAGCAACACCCTTGCAACAGCTGGAATGTTCAACTGTTCATGGTTCATGATGCTGTTAAAACAGATGTTAAAAAGTACAATGGAATAAAATAGGAATGCAATTAGCAGTCATTGAATTCAATGACCTAGACTGTTGTATCTTGGAGAAAATTCTCTGCATGAATGAGTGGCAGGTGCTGGCATGTGATGTAGGAAAGGCACTTGGAGGTTTATAGAGAAAACAAACCACAGTGGACCTCAAGCAAAAAATCACAGAAAACATTTGTGCTTCCGTTTGAGAGCTGTGTGCTGAATTTTGTATGAATGTTAATTCTGCATTTGAGATTCTATGAAACTTACTTGCAGTCTGTAAGGTATGCCTTACATAATTACTTAAAAACAATCCTAAGGCTTTCAAAACTTTTACTTCATTCTTAGTTAATAAGTTTTTAATCCAGGAACTTGATTTCTGTGGCATCTTCTAGGACAGATAGTTATGCTGTTGTGCTCTACCACCATTTACACAGAAACTATGTTCCTCCAAATTAGTATTTTGGAAGTACAGCAGGCTGCGCCACTGCTTAACCCAGTGCTGTGTGAGAAAAATTATTTAAGGCTGCTAAATTTTTGCCATTTTACTGTGTGCACATTTGCTAGTAAATTACTGAAGATACTTCATGCAATATGAGAAATAATCTCAGAATGGAGCAGGGCTTGAAATCTGCAAACTGTTTGAGTTTTTTTTTTTTAAATGAGATGTAGTAGGGCAGAATAATGCACAATTACCTAACTCAGGTCCAGTATCAAGGGTAAGCATAACCAGGCAGCTGCTGAACCAGCAAGGGCCCTCCGAAAAAGGCACAGTAGTTACCACCTCCTACATGCTTGCTGGTTCTGTCTCTGACTTTCTTACCATAATATTTAATATATCCCAAAAACAGCACTTGCACCAGACAATTGGAAAATGGCCAGTATAACACCAATTTTTAAAAAGTGATCCAGAGGGGATTCAGGAAAGTACATGCCGGTTAGCTTAACATCTGTTCTGATTAAACTGCTTGGAAGCATCATTTAAGATAGTAAGCACATAGACAAACCCTGATGAGAAAAGGTCAGCATGGCTTCTGCAAGGGGAAGTCTTGTCTCACTAATCCATTGAAGTTCTTTGGGAGTGTCAGTAAGCATGTAGGCAGGCAGGGTTTCAGTAGACACTGTTTACTTGGACTTTCAAAGGGCTTTTGGCAAAGTCCCTCACCAAAGGCTCCAGAGCAAACTAAGCAATCATGGAATTAAAGGGGGGGGGGTCTCTTATTGATCACTATCTGATTAAAGAACAGAAGACGGTGGGAATACATGACATCTTCTGCTAATGGAGAGATGTGACCAGTGGAGTCCCACGGAGTTTGGTCTTAGCATCAATGCTTTTCAACCTATTTATAAATGATTTGGAATTAGGAATAAGTAGTGAAAAGGCCAGATTTGCTGATGACACCAAACTATTTAGGTTGGTTAAAACCATAAGGGATTGTAAGGAGTTCCAAAGGGATCTCTCCAATCTGGGAGAATGGACATCAAAATGGCAGATGAAATTCAATATAAGCAAGTTTAAAGTAATGCATGTTGGGGCAAAATATCCCAGCTTCAGGTATATGCTGATGGGATTAGAACTAGCAGTGACTGAGCAAGAAAGGGACCTTGGGGTAGTAGTGGATAGAGATCTTGATGGAAATGTTGGTCCTGTGCATGGCTGGTGTAAAGAAAAAGGCAAACTCCATGCTAGGTATAATTAGGAACAGAATAGAAAGTTGACAAGATCTTACTTCCCTTATGCATATTGTTGGCATAACAGAACTTAAAATACTGTGTCCAGTACTGGTTGCCTCACTTGAATAGGGGCATTATTGAGTTGGAAAAAGTAACAGAGAAAGGCAATGCTTCTTGCATTTCATTATTTAACTAATGGATTAATGCTGCATTACTAATGTGGGAAAATAGTGAACTAAAGCATTAATCCAGTTCAATGCTGTCCTGCTCCTATACCCTGTAAGAAATACTCCACAGAGGTTGGGAGGATCTTGTTGTTTAAGGTAGACTATTGTCTACGGGGGAGAGAAGGGTGCCTGAAAATCAGGGGCAGGCACCTTTCATGAGAGGAGCTCTGTTCATGGAATGTAGCTTCACTCAATTCCCTTTTCTCAGTCCCTGATCTATCCCCAACATTGATGGGAATCTGATTACACTTTGAAAACAGTTTATCTTTACCTTTTTGACATGCTCTTTTATGGTATTCCATAGCAATGCAATAATCTCTTTATTTTTATAGACAGATTATGCCATCAAGTATTAGAAATTTCATTACCTAATCAGTGCAGGTTTGTCCAAATTTGCTAGATGGCGCACTTTTGTGTTTATATTAAACATCTAGATATTCTCAATAGTGGTATTGATAACTGCTGAAAGAGTTAAATTTACTCACACCAGATAACATTTTTAAATTTGTACAGGTCCAACAACTGCACCTGTGCTTCTGTTCTTCCCAGGAAAAAAAGCAAACAAAAAAGAACTTGGAATC